TGTCTGTACCAACCTTGTGTCTTCCACGAAAGACATTTGCAGTAGCTCCTTGGCCTAAAATATCAGATAAAAGCCACAGATGATTAGAAGTGCTCTGCATCTCGGCTTGGTTAGGTGATCCTCTTTATTATACTAAGAGAAAAGAAAAAAAATGTGCATGTTTGTTTTAAGGGACTAATACATTTTAGAAACCAATGTTAGCTACTGTTACTCTCAAGTAAGATCATCCATTCTTTAATAGCTAAATTGAGGTATATAAAAAGTCCAAAGTAAAAAAAACTAAGCTTCCAGTTATATTAAATGCTGTGTGGACTCTGAATAACATTAATCAAAGACACCTTATATATTTTATTTAATTTACTTATCAGAAGGCTGAAAAAAATCTATTTCCATCCTAATTTTATCTTTGTCAATGAGAGTGATACTGGCCACCTCTTCTCTCAAATGTTTTGAAAAATTAATCAAAGATAAGTTATATTTAAAGTGTTTCAGAATAAAGTAATAATGTAGACTATAACAGAATATATTAAAAATTACTTCATTTCCTTGAAAAGCAGGGCAACACTAATGAAAAAAACCACTGCTGCCACTGCATAACATTTCCTGTAACTCAAAATTTCATCTACACAGAGCCTGACAATCACAATGGAAAGGTGCAAAATTATTATTCCTGAAAGGTTACTAATGCTTCTGAAATTAATTTAAGGGTAGTTTCTCCGACCTCCAATTATATAAATACAAAACACGTCAAATGTGTGTTACTAAGTCTTAAAAATAAGCAAGGGGAAGCTATGCATGTATTGGGGCAGGAAGTATATGGAAAATCTGTTCCTTCTGTTCAGTTTTGCTGAGAACTTAAAACTGCTCTAAAAAGTGAAGTCTTTTTTTAAAAAAAAGCATTACCCTATTTGATACTGCTCTATAATACTGAAAAGCTATACAATACTAAACATATTTGAGTTCTATGTTGGTATGAAAATGAGATATGCTAAATACATAAACACTGGTCTCATCAAGCCACCTTAAACCTGCTGTAATGTCAGATCAAAACAGAGCATAATATGCCTCTGTAGTAAGTTAGAACGACTAGGTTGCCAGTGATGAATTAACGCCCGGCAATATTCCAAGCAGAACCAGGAATTTAAAGAATGGCCAGGGGTCTAAATTTCAGCAATCTTTCATATACTAAGATATATTTATGTAATTTTATCAGCTATCTAATTCAGATAAGGGAATTCATACAGCAATTTATTGTAAATGAACAATATAAATAAGATTTTCTTCTCACAAATAAGAAATACACATTTGTCAGTTAGTGAGGTAATAAACTTCTCAAATATTTTCGAGTAATGAAAAGTCTTCCCTAATTAACTTTGTTATCTGAGATGACTGTAAGTGGCAAATAGTATGATCGGTATTTATAATATCATAGGTACCTATTTGTACCTAGTGGGTAATATAAAACACATTTATCAGCTAAGATACCTGCTTTCTGTATGCAAATATAAACCTACAGTTTTACAATGATCTGGGGAAATGTCTTTTGAAACTATCTTCCAAACCCCCCAATAACAGCAAGCTAAAATGTGACTCAGCACATGTGCAAAGTGCTTGCTGTAGAAGTCTTCCCAAATTCCGACACACTAGAGGCTGGCACTCGACACGTATGTTATGCTGACCCTGCCAAGTCTACTTCCTTATACTATCCAAAACGAAACCATTTGTTCATAAATGAATAGGCAGATAGAAAAAGTTTCCGGATTTCCAAACGACTACTGTGTGAATCATTTGTTGAAGTAGTATTATATTCAGCGTTCTTGAGTGAAAAAGGCCGGTCTTTGGTTATGCGTTTCTCAATTACTGGGTAGAACTACGTTTGAGGCCATTTACTGAAAACACCTGGGAAGCGGATTGGACAACAAGCGTACAAGCCATCTCCCCACAGGAAACGCTTTGGGAACTTGTATGATCCATTACATGTGCATATATTAAAAACGTCTTCAGCTTCTAGCTTCCCGTGAGCCAACCCCTTCTGTTTATCACCACTAAAACCTTAATGAAACGATTTTTTAATCTGAAAAAAACACAAAAACCAATCTACTTAAAAACTGCGATCTTGCCCTGGCCGGGAACTTAGTTGTTTTAGAGCATCCTCCTCATAGCCAAGGTTGTGATCCCGGTCAGGACACACACAAGAAGCAATCAATAGATGCATAAATGAATGGAACAATGAATCCATGTTTCTCTTTCTCCCCACCTTTCTAAATCAACAAGTAAAAATAAATAAATAAAAACTGTCGATTTTGTCAACACTTGGAAATTTGGGGTACAAACCGGCCAATCTAACTGCCAGGAAAAAGGGCCCAACGTTTCTCCCGGGCGGCCAGGGCCCAGACTCAGTCACCAACACATCCTTCTTCTTCGTGTCCAGCGTCGCTAGACCCGGGAGGGCCTGGTCAAAGAATCGGGAGTCCAGATGGAAGGGACAGAGCCCGCGCAACCATCCTACCCGGCTTCGGACGACCCAGACACCCTAGGAGCCGGGTGTCGGCCTAGCCAGGGCGCGGGGAGGACTTGGCCTCGGGTCGTGAGGGGGATCCTGGGGTCGCTCGCCCTGCCCCGCCCCCGCTCTGACTCAGCATGCCAACTTCCCACAGAGGGCGGGAACACTCCGCGCGGGCCTGTGCGGGGCTCAGCTGCCCCGGCCCTACGCGACGTCTAACCTTCCAGCCGCATCCGCCCCCACTCACCGCGCGGGATAACCTCCGCACCGCCGCCAGCCGGCTCCCGCGGCCTCGTTGAGCCTCAGGGCACTTCCGGCTTCCCGAGTCCTATTCGGGAGCCACGTGACCGACAGTCGTCGCACGCAGGTGCGCGTGCGCACGCCCAAGGGCCCGGCCTCCGCCCTTGCCCCCGAAGTTCCTGCGGTGGTGAGCTCACTGGTGCTTTGTAGCGAGCGGCTGGGAAGGTGGGGGTCTCCTTAGTCAGACTTGGTCTACATTCTCTCTGCTAGACGCTTCCCACCCACTGTCGTCCTCCTTACCCTGAGAGTGAAGCCAGGGTGCCCTGCGCAATGAGCACAAGGTTCCTATATTCGCGCCTGCAAATCCCTCCCAGTCCCGGAGAGCCGAAGAGTCGAGTGTAGCGATGGTGAGGAAGACAGAATAGAACTCGTTTTAAGTCAAATCACTGGCGTGCCGAGTGCTGGACACGTTGGGGGCTCTCACTGGGAAATATCATAGTCTGAAGGGGCAGATTTGTATTTTAAAGCCCTCGTTGGCTGCCGTGAAGCTAGATGATCATTTAGGAATATTAACACGTAAAAGTCTTAACGTAAATAAGCTCACTAATTCCCTCTTTCGAGCGGTATTTTGGAAAATGACAGTATTGGAGAGATTAAGGATTAAAATCAGGTCCAGCAGTATTCGTGCCGCCAAGATCTCAGGCAGCTCGCCATCTAGGCTTATTCTAGGCTGATTCCTTTTGCCAACTGGCAGCACTGCAGCCGTCTCAAAGAAGGAGAGGCCATAGACTACCGCTGATCTAGAGCCTCCCAGATGAGAACTTCAGCAACCGGCAATGAAATGGGAAACCTCGGTGGAGTGGTTAATTAAGAGCAGTGGCTTTTGAATGGAACAGACCTGGGGTCAACTGTTCCAACTCTAGCAGCACTGCCAAATACTGAACTTCAAACATGTTTTTCTGTTGTTTTGTCGTTTACTTAAGTCTTATATGCACAATGGCGGTAACAAAAGCCCACTGTAATGAATTGTTACAAAGGAAGTTACTTTATTAGACTTTTAAACAATGTTTAAGTGATGGAATCATTCTAACAACAAACATATCTATTCACTGCTTATAATTCCAACCAGTTTTCCCATGTCTAATTCCAAGGTCCTGTCAAAGTTCCTTACAACAGTAAAGCCCACAGCTCAAAGGTTATGAGAGAAGTGATTAGCTGAGCCCAAGGCATTTTTTTTTTACGTATTTTCCACGTAATTGATACACATTGAAATACCAGCATTTTCTTAAAGGTAAGCCACTTAAGAACCAATTTGAGTTAGCATTTACTTGAAGATTTAAATAACCTGTTAGGCACAGAACTAAACCAGGCATCATAAAACCCTGGTGGTTACATAGTCAAGTTACACATCCCTAAGGTTTTTTTGCTTCGATGTTATCTCACCTGTTAACAGTTGAGATTCACCAAATTATTTGGGTGCTTGCTTTTGGAGCTAAATACAATACAAATAAGGTAATTCATGATGGAAGTTTCCTAATTGCTATGGTAATCCATAATGCTCTGGGCAACTTCAGGGAATGAAGATAGAAATTATACATGATCACCGAACATGAAGTTTAATTTCTACTACACCCTTAATGTCCATGTCTTGATTTCTCTTAGCTCTGAACGCATGTGAATCTTTTGAAGGGCTTTGAAGAGCAAGGGGGGAAGGAGCAGGTATCTCCTTTACATATATGTAATTAACAACCCAGTAACCATAGCTAATATCAGGCCTTTGTGTGCAGGTGCTATAATAAACTCTTTTCATGTTTAACTTCTTAAATTCTTAGTTATGAGGTAGCTACCATTATTTCTCCTATTTTGCAGATGGGGAAACTGTGGAGGGAGAAGTTAATTTGCTTAAGGTTCCAAAACCAGTTACTGGTGGAACTGTTATTTGAACCTACTTAATCAGGATCCCGAGATTGTTCACTTGACCGCTATGTTATGCTATGCTACTCATTAGTATACTTTGGACAATCAGTACTACTGCAATAGCGTAATTATCTCCCCAACAGGACGGGGGAACTTATCAACAAAACCATCAGCTTTTACTCATCTATTTTTTAAAAACATCGTTATCGAAGTTTTATATTCCACTGATCTAGTTTTACAATTAATTGTCAACTTAGTTTAGTACCTTTATTCTATGATGTAAGGAAAACATTTAAAATCTCTTCTGCAATTAACCCCAGAAGATTTATGCTCACAATTATTTATTATTTTTTAAAAATATTTATTTTTAGAGGAAGGAGGAGGGAGAAAGAAAGGGATATGTACACAATTTAGAATACAATTTTAGGAAGTTTATACACTCCTGAAGCCTGTCCATGAAACCCCTAGGGGCCATATTGGCCAAAGGTTAAAAAAAATAACCACCCAACCCTCCCCTACAATCTTACTGAGACTTTTAGAATTTAAACTTAAATGACTATAGTAACTGTGCTACTCAGTGTTGTCCCTCTTAATTTCCCAATACTACTACTGATACTATTGTTTCTCCTCTTGTTTTCTTGCAGTCATGAATAAAAATGGGAGAAGACAAGGGAAGTTCTTCTAGTAATTAAATGGGCAGCGCCTATTTATAAATACCATAAACACATAGGTATACTGTGCCCTAAATAGATCCAATAACAGAGGTAGAACATATTGGACTTTTAATTCTATCAACAAATTCACACAGGCTTTTTCTAGGCCGTTTTTAAAAAGATCTATTTAACAGAACTAAGTTGCATATAACCTTTTAGGAGCATAATACAATTAAATAAATCACCTATAAGCTTTTATGTGCAATCCTTTAAATGGGAAATTAGGAAAGGTAAGACAAAAAACTAGGGCTACAGTATGTATAATAATTCCCAAAAAGACTTGGTAAATTCACTATGTAAAATTTATTTTTTTATAAAAAAAATGTATAACACCGGCACCTACTCTTAAATCAGTTAATTTACGAAACCATTCTCTTTTGTAGAATACATATTGGCATCAAAACATTGTAAAGAAATGTCATGGCTATCTATAAAAAAGTAGTTTTGATCTTTGTAGTTCCCCCATAGTTTGAGTCTGCACACATAAAAGAAAAATTAAATTCTCAAACATTTTATATTCATTCAGCAATTTTAAAAAAGTACAGTTTTCCCGCTATGGTCTTTAAGAGGACTTAAAGTTTCAAATAAAAATAAAAAGGTACTAGGATAACTCTGCTGAATCGTTTAACAGCATTTTTACATAAAACAATATGAATTGGCATGCAAGCCACTTCTCGTTGCCACATACCTGTACTTAGGGAAAATTACACACATTTTACAGAAAAATCCCAATACATACACATACTGCAATAAGCTCAAAGCCAAGTTAAAAAGAGCACTGTGAATGGCACATAAAACCTGCTTCTTTATAAATTATTAACTGGAATTTCTGATCACAAATCCTGATTATGAAGTAGGCACAGGGAGATCCAGTTCCTAGGGCTTTGCTCTCTGGAAGAACATCTGCGAAGAAAGCATTAGCACAGTTAGTACTGATGTCTGAAGCACCACCTTTCACTCGAAGAACGGCTCTACGTTACTGAGTGCCAGCTACTCTTTTGTAAAACTCAGCAGATATTTAAAACATCTCACATCATAAATCCATACATTAATACCAGTTAAGAGCTTTCTCTTTTGGACAATTTGATAAAGTCTAGAGATAACTTATGCTGACAACACTCAGCTGAGAAACTGGTGAAAATATGGAACTGCCACCGATGCCGTGAGGTTCAAGTGGCCAGAGGAAAACACACTCCTGACACGTTTTGCTGATTGGCACATACCATCCAAGTTAATGCTGAGAGATTAAATTCTGAGAATACACAAGTCAAAGCTACAGACAGCAGTTGTTATCCCTTAAGGGAATTTACTGTTTCATTATAAAAAAAAATACTTTCAGCATTCGAGACTATGAACAAGTGCACAGGAGGCTGCGCAAGGCACTGGGCCAGTATTACACAGTATGGTCCACAGGTACATGTTAAGAGCACTAGAAAGAGTAAGCTGTAGGCTCATGAAGGGTAAGAACTATATTGATCATTGTATCCCCAGTAATAACAGATCTGACATTCACTTAACAACACACAGCCTACTGAGTAAGAGGGGAGAAAAGAATAGTCACTATGTGAGCAAAAGAAAGCCTTGTAAGGAGGTCATGCTTCAGGTAAGTCTAGAAGAATGGGTAGAATTCATGAAGGGGCAGATTTACTAATAAGGCAGAATTTCTGAAGAACAGCAAGAATGGTAAAAGACCACTCCTGTGAGAGAAATCCAGAGATCACAGTGTAAGAAGAAAAAATCCCTGAATGCCAAACTAAGAAACATGAACTTGTTTTTAGTCAACAACAGGCTTATGAAAACTATCAAAGAGGGGAATGAATTTCAGGGGACTGACTGTTCAATGTTTTTAAATAGACCTGATTGGCTAGAACAAGAGCAGTGGGATAACAAGCCTATACTAGAGACAAAGGAAGGGACAGCAAGTGGGTGAGGAGGAAGAATCAACAAGATCTGAGGATCAATCAGGTATGAACAGAACAGGCATGAAAGAAGGAACTTCATTTTTTCCAATTATCATTGACTTAATGCTATCACCATAGAGAAACTGGACTTGAGAGAAAGCTGTTTGGGTAAATTTATGTTTGTGGAGCATAAGACTGCTACAATGTACATAGATCTGGTGTTACACATACCTCTAATAGAGAGTTACAATTTTTTAAGTCCTTCAATACAGTGTAATCGATCAGGTGTTTAATAGGTTACCATATAGACACTTTGCTTTTATGGAGAAATGGGAGTGGGAGAGTTCGGAATGTTAATTATATAAACAGTAACTCACAACATTCTTCTGCAAAGTCTCTTGTCAGTTGAGGCTGACAAACTACCGTAACAGAAAAAAACTGATAAGGGAAGAGATCAGAACCCAAGTCAAAGGACCTCACACTTGTTTACTCAGCAAAGCCCCTTGAATTATAAATTCTACTGAGTGCCTTGGGCAAAAGAACTAGGCAGCTGTTTATTAAATTACCTGCTACCAAGCCATTTAACATAGTGCTTTCTCTTTAGATTTGTTGAATGAAGGTAATAAATAAAATAAAGAACAGTTCCTCATCCCGTCACACTGTAATTTTATTTCCCGTCCACAAGCTCCTTGTGGGCAGGGAAAGTCACTCCTACTGGCATTTGCAGCAGGTGGCATGGTACCTGTCACATAAAAAGCAATCACGGAGTACTGAATGGCTGGCTCCTTAGGCAAAAGCAAGATAGTGCTGTCTCAAAAATTTTATTATTAATATGATACTAAATAAACATTTGGCACTTCCTCAAACTTGGAGGTTTTAAAAAATTCAGTGATTAAACAAATGTATAAAGAGCCTTGCAGGCCAAATATGTGAACTCTGCTTTTCGTCTGTTTCACAATTCAAAGTTTATGATTGGACAAAACCAAGTAACTCATATTTCTGTTTCTATATTTTTAGCTCCTTCTTTTCAACCCAATATGGGCAACTGTTCTTAAGCATTGCTTGTTCTCCCAATGCTCTAGTCCCGATTTCATTAAGTCATGAAATTGTAAAAGAAAACTCCATTTTCATACCAAATGCTCAGGCACATACACATTCAGTGTTTTTAATTGTCTATGATTGTTCACTTGAAAGAGTTTCACAGGAAGACTCTGAAGTATAACATCTATAACTACGGTTTCTTAGAAGCAGATTTCAGAGCAGAGAGATCCCAAAGTAAGTAATAGTTGGCCAAACTATTGTATGACACAGTATCCTATGGTATATACTCTCTCAGCTCTGAAACATTATCTAGTTATATGAAGATAGGTAAGTTTTCCAAATACCTACCTTTAAGTAGTTTTTAAAAACTTTAGCATCAGGCTGCTGAAGCGCTTGACAAAACTCCTTGGGGGCCAGAGGAGAAGAAAGAAAAAAAAATTAATCTTTTCTATTAAATTCATAATTCACATGCACAGCACTGTTTTAAAATTGTGATAAAAAAGCCCCAGCTGGTGTAGCTCAGTGGACTGAGTGTAGACTGTGAACCAAAGGGTCACTGGTTCCAGTCAGGGCACATGCCTGGGTTGTGGGCCAGGTCCCCAGTGGGGGCCAGGTGAGAGGCAGCCACACATTGATGTTTCTCTCCCTCTTTCTGTCTCTCCTCCCCTCTCTCTAAAAATAAATAAAATCTTTAAAAAAATAAAATTGTGATAGAAACATAAAATTGACCATCTTAATCCTTTTATGTGTACAAGACCGCAGCGTTAACTATATGCACACTGTTGTGCAACTGGCGCTAGAATTTGCACATCTTGCAAAACTGAAACCAAGCCCATTGAACAATTCCCCTTTCCCTCTCCCCAAAGCCCAGCCTCTGGCCACCACTATTCTACTTTGCTTTTGAGGGTATGACTATTTAGATACTTCATATAAGAGGAATTTTGTAGTATTTGTCTTTTTGTGACCTGCTCATTTCATTTAGCAGAATGATCTCAAAATTCATCCAAGTTGTAGCATATGACAGGATTTCCCTCTTTAAAAGCTGAATATTCCATTGTGTGTATATATCATATTCTATTATCCACTCATCTGTCAATGGACATTTTGCATTGCTTCGAATCTATAGTATTCATAATCTACCAAAATTAACCTGAATAATTCCTCACCAGAAAAGTACAGTATTCTCAAATCTGGTACTTGTCAGATAGGCAGCTTTCCCTTTTGAGAACAAGGCTCTCCTTGACAAGGCTGATTCATGTCTAAGTGGGAAAAACTACCTTACTATGGCTGTTCTCACTTAGTAGGGACCTGAGCAAAGCCAGACCAAACGAAAAAAAAAAGTCTCCCCAAAAGAAATCTGCAAAACACGGTTTTTAGATTGTTAGAAGGCATCCAGAAAAGGAACAACTGGGGTGCCTTATCCTTCATAGTCAAATAATTAAATAGAAATATAATTTTGCTTCATTTAGCAATCTGGGAGACTAATAGCTATTCAAATACAGATGACATTTCTATTTTGATGCACATTAAAATCACATGAGTAATCAGTAATTTATTGTTGGCATATAAAGTATTAGCTTATAAGTAATAACTGAGAAAATTCATTAATATCTCTCAAGTTAAAGATGATGTGTCATGAGACCATAAATTCACTAAAAATGAGTTTTATGACTATTCACATTTATATAAGAGCTAGCTGACTTTTCATTCAATTTTTCAATGCGTCTTATAAAAGAGCAGTATAAATCACCCTCTTACAAAACAGCACTGTAAATCACTGTTGATAGAAAACAACTTTTAGAATCTATACAATAGATTCTAACTCTAGGGTTTTTTTTAAAGATTTTATTTATTTATTTTTAGAGAGAAGGGAAGGGACGAAGAGAGGGAGAGAAACATCAATCCGTTGGCTTTCATATTTGCCCCAGCTGGGGACCAAATCTGCAACCCAGGCATGGGCGCTGACCAGGAGTCGAACCAGCTATCTTTTGCTTTGTGGGACAGCGCCCAGCCAGTTCAGCCACACCGGTCAGGGCTATACCTCTAGTTTTAATAGAAACTTTGATACTCCTTTAGATCTACGGGTTACAGGACAAGAAGTCTGGGTAAATATATGCCAAGAAAATAACTAAATGCCATTAAAAATGCCTAATAGTGCAACAGTGATACAGTTTTCCAGCCTCTTACCTCAAATTCAGTTTGACGTACAAATTAAGCATTGATAAGTTTGGCACATATAAAATGAACTACCTGGCACAAAACTTCAGGAGAGATCCATGTGCCCTCGTCCCCTCTGGCAGTCTGGGATAGCCCACTGCACCCATTTCAGAATGTTTTAACATGTGAGATTATAAAGGAAACTAATAATGAATTATGGTTATCAAGAATATTTTGACGTGGTAGAATACGATTTACAGACTCAGGTAACAAGGTCTAGTGGCATATCTTAACTCATAATTTCAAAATATTGATGAGTGTTAATAATATTTTGAGGTCTTTGGAACTAGTGTGATACAAAAATATTTGTGTTTTTTATTGGTGACAAAGCCACAGCAATGTGAACACTACTGTGATACTACACAACGACAGGAAATTAAATTTCTGTTTAAGGACAATGAAAATAAAAATACAACTTTTCCCATTCATTTTCACAGACCCTCTGAAGTTCAGGCACTTGCTATCCTGTACACAGTAGAACATCAAGTTGAATGCGTGTGGCACTCTTGAATGAAAATACAGATTGCACTACAGTCGTTGTTCTTTAATTAAATTAAGAGGAAAATCTGCTAGGATAGGTCTTACCTGAATTATCTCTGGAGCTACCTGCAAGGAAGGCAGGTATTCTTGTTGAAGATACTGAACACATTCTGGGCCCTGAAAAATGAAAAGATGATTAAATCAGATTATTCCTTGACATTAACACATCTTCAAAAGAAACTGGAACAATATACATATACTTTAAACACAGTAAGTTGTTGTGATTAGGAACAGACTCTGAAACCAGTTCCTTTGTTCTGAAGCCTGGCTCTGGCAGATTTCTGGTAACTTGAGCAAGTTACTTAACTTCTTTGAGCCTCAGTTTCTCCATCTAACAAATAAAGTTATTGCGTAGATTGGGTGAGTTGAGAATGTAAAGCTTTAATATTTACCACGTGTTAACATTCCTTATTGTGTTAAGTCGTGCTAAAGATTAAACCAATACTCTACATGCAGGAGGGTCACAATGCAAGAGCCTTCCATGCACTGGAAGGGCTGGAAAGAGAGGTGTTCCTTTCCCATCCACCACTGGGTGGACAGGGTGCTGTGGGTACACAAGGCCTCTTGGTGGTGTCAGAGTAATGACTGTCTTTAGAAACTAAAATACAAGCAAGAAAGAATAAAATGATATGCTAGGAGGTAATAGCAATAAAACCACACCTTCCTTTTTCTGCTCACAATCTAGGGAAAAGGAATTTAGTAGCCAGTCAAGGAAACCAGGACCCAGAAAGATAGATTATTTGCCCAGTGTGCTGTGATTAAACCTGTACTAAAAAGCAGGTCACCTGACTCCTAAAACCACTGCTCTTTGCTGCCATCTTCTAGACTTCTAGATGCTAAAAACTATAACAACAGTTTTTTAGGGCATTTTGGGGGTATGTTTGGTGAAGGGAAGACGGAAAAATTCCACAAACTCCTAACTCCCTTACCCACTTCTCAGCAACTACAATGGAACTCAGGATACAATTTGAAAATGGTTTTCCTATAGCAAAGTGTTTTTGAGAGTGGTTTCAAGGAAATGTAATAAATCCAATACTTAAAAAATAAAAAGCTAATTTCACTTTTAAACTTGAATCTGACTTAAAGCCTTTGATACCTTGATGACCCCAACCAGGTCCAACTGAAATTAACAGTTACCAAAATGAAATCAATCCATTTCTCCTCAGTAACACTTTTTGCATTAGCACCCGAGTTCCTGTTTAATGCTACTGCTCCTGAATCAAAGGGTATCTTCATGTCTTTTTCTTCTCCCTTGATTTCTGGGCCTGACCCAATGGGTGTAGGTCACAATTTAACTAGCATTCAAAGGAAGCCTGTTTCCAATTGAGAGGAGGAAACATTTCACTGTGAAAGTTTCTCACAATGAAATCCCTTCAACACTCCTCACCTTGGTCTTTAGTTTCCTCTCCCTAAACTTAACTGCCTACACACAGCTTATCATCTCTTATAACCACTGCAATCACTCAAAAATAGAGTATACTTGCTTTATTTATTAATTGATTATACTATTACAATTGTCCCAATTTTCTCCCATTGTTCTCCTCCACCCAACACCCTCTACCTCCCTCAGGCAACCCCCACTCGCCATTGTTCATGTCCATGGGTCATGTGCACAAGTTCTTTGGCTACTCAAAAATGAAGTGAAGCCCTGGCTGGTGTGGCTCAGTGGATTGAGTGCTGGCCTGTGAACCAAAGGGTCGCTGTTTTGACTCCCAGTCAGGGCACATGCCTGGGTTACAGGCCAGGTCCCCAGTGGGGGGTTTGTGAGAGGCAGCCACATACTGATGTTTCTCTGCCACTCTTTTTCCTTCCCTTCCCCTCTGTCTAAAAATAAAATAAAATAAACAAAGAAATAAAAATGTAAAAAGAATGAAGTATACTTGTTTTAACGTTTTTCAACTGGGAAAAGTAAACTTGTACCTTGAGAGGAAATCAAATGAATAAATGAAAGAAAAAAAAAGATTGAAGCAAAACATTTTCAAGTACAATATTTCATTTGCTCAATTCTCTGTATCTAAATGAGAACGTCTAAAGACAAGAGAAATACTTCTGTACTGTAAATATCACTCTTACCTTTTTTTTGGTCATTCCTCATCCTCCTTGACTCTCTAGCACCCAATAATGTCAACCCATCAGCTCTCTTGTGACTCTTCCCTTAGCTTTTATACCTTTGGTTCTACTTCTAGTTTCCCCTTGATTCTTGCTTTAGCCAAGGTTCTCTCTGTCCTGTTCTTACAAAGTCTCACTTCACCTTGACTAACTACATACTTGGGACTCCTAAATCAGTACTTAGTCCTAACTGGTTCAAGCCCATATTCCAAACTCTCCTCTGAGTATTTCTTCCCACCTAGCTACCCTAAATTATAGCCCTGCTGCTTAGTGACTTCCCAACTGTTTACACAGAACACACCTAGTAGTCCCATTTGAGTTTTTCGCTATTGCTTCCACCTCCATACTTGAGCTAAACATGTTAATGCCATTTTCCACTGTATCCACCATGCAATGTCTTAACTTTGCCGGCATGTCAGCTCCTCTTTCTAGCTTAATAAATCTATATTTAAGGTCTACCAAAAAAAAGTAATTGCCTCTTTCTAATGGCTTTCTTAGATTGTTCTCAGAGGCAAAACTGCTCCTTTATCTTTAGTCCCAAAATACTACATTCAATACAGGTCTATTGCCCTGGCTGGCGTAGCTCAGTGGATTGAGCTTGGGCCATGAACCAAAGCATTGCAGGTTTGATTCCCAGTCAGGGCACATGCCTGGGTTGTGGGCCAGGTCCCCAGTGGGGGCCATGTGAGAGGCAACCACACATTGATGTTAAAAAAAAAATAATACAGGTCTATTAACATATCTCAATGAAAGCTCTTACTTAACCCAGCCCATTAAGCTATTTATTTATGTACGATCTCCTCTGCTTCTAAATAAGCTCTACAAATAATGGGGAACTTTTAATTCATCTTTATACAGCTCCTGTGTTGCCCCCCTAAGTCCTAAAATGCATAACCCTTACCCTATAATATAGTAGGCATAGAGAAAATGCTACTGAGTTGAAAACCCTTCAAATCCCTATCAGAATAAAAAAGTCAAGTTCAAATGAGGAATGGGCTGAATGGAGACTGATGAATGAGAGAGCTCATGCTTTTTTAGGGGTGAGGGGAGCTGCCACTCATTAGCTGACTGCAGCTATGTGGGGGTGCCACTGCTGTGCTGACATCCTGGCTTTGAGAGAAGGTGGAGATAGGAATTTGTTAAAAAAAAAAAAAGTAACTGAGTTTTAAACACCAGCAATCAATTCAACTTACTGAAAAAATGCTGTATAAGACAAAACAGCACACCAGCTAAATTCAGCCCCGAATCACTTATGATTTACACAACTGATTAGACTGACGAGAAAAAACAGGACATTTTGAAGTAGTAAAGTGCTCTAGCCATTTGCAATACTAAGAAGCTGGAGAAATCTTGCTGTGAAGAGCCTACTAGATTGTGAAATCTGGAATTCGATATTCTGTTTTAGATTCTTTACATTCTCTGTCAAATGAAAACATAACTTTTTAACATTCTTGTTGTCTCTAACATGATGGACAATAATGGATACTGTACTCCCTCAAACCCCAAACAGGCAGGACTGAAGTTAATTACCTTTTTTAAGAGATACAGCTTTCAAAAATAAGTCAAACACAAAACCATAGCAGATGCGCATGTGAGATGGGAACAAGCGGGCAGGGAGTCCTAAGCTTACCCGTTTGAGATGAATTGTTTTCAGCGTCACTGCACACTCAGACAAAGCCTGTGTGAAACAAGTTTAAGAATCTTAATACAGTGAGTTCTTGGCCACTGACCCAACTTCTCTTTTTTATTTCCCTGACCACTAGCTCATTAACCTTCCGAGGGTGGAGGGAGGAAGGGTGGAGGAAGGAAAGAATGGAATAAGTAGGTTGGACAGAAAATGTAACAACACAGAAATGCTGTCTTGATGTAGTGAATTATAGTTACGAAGTTTAGCTTTTACTTGGTTGTGGGGAAGTGAGCAAATGGCAAGTACTTGATATTAAACATTCTGAAGATCAGATTTGGGGAAACCATCATACAGGAAAGAGAGTTACTTTTAATAGAAAAAAACCATTCAGCATAAGTTTTAGAATGAAAGTAGGAAACTAATAAACTTTCAAGAATATTAGTATTGTGTACACTTTCATGGTCCTAGAAAAAGTTTGCTGTTAAAATTGTAGGAACTGGATTTTACTATTTTTTAAAATACACTTTATTGATTATGCTATTACAATTGTCCCATTTTCCCTTCTTTATTCCCCTCCGCCCTGCACACCCCCTCCCACCTGCATTCCCCCTCTTTAATTCATGTCTATGGGTTGTACATATAAGTTCCTTGGCTTCTACATTTCCTACACTATTCTTAACCTCCCCCTGTCTATTTTCTACCTACCATCTATGCTACTTATTCTCAGTACTTTTTACCCTCTCCCACCCTCCTATTCCCCCTCTGATAACCCTCCATGTGATGTCCATTTCTGTGATTCTGTTCCTCTTCTAGTTGTTTGCTTAGTTTTTTTTTTTTTAGGTTAAGTTGTTAATAGCTGTGAGTGTGTTGTCATTTTACTGTTCATATTTTCTATCTTCTTTTTCTTAGATAACTCCCTTTAACATTTCATATAATAAGGGCTTGGTGATGATGAACTCCTTTAACTTGACCTTATCTGGGAGGCACTTTATCTGCCCTTCTATTATAAATGATAGCTTTGCTGGATAGAGTAATCTTGGATGTAGGTGCTTGCCTTTCATGACTTGGGATATTTCTTTCCAGCCCCTTCTTGCCTGTAAGGTCTCTTGTTGAGAAATCAGCTGACAGTCTGATGGGAACTGCTTTGTAGGTAACTGTCTCCTTATCTCTTGCTGCTTCTAGGATTCTCTCCTTTATTTTAAATTTGGGTAATTAATTATGATGTGCCTTGGTGTATTCCTTCTTGGGTCCAACTTCTTTGGGACTCTCTAAGCCTCCTGGACTTCCTGGAAGTCTATTTTCTCTGTCAGATTGGGGAAGTTATCCTTCATTATTTGTTCAAATAAATTTTTAATTTCTTGCTGTTGTTCTTCTGGTACCCCTATAATGCGGATATGGGAACATTTTAGACTGTCCCAGAGGTTCGTAAGTCTCTCTTCACTTTTTGAATTTTTGTTCTTCATTCTGTTCTGGTTGGATGTTTATTTCTTCCTTCTGCTCCAAACTGTTGATCTGAGTCCTGGTTTCCTTCCCATCACTGTTGGTTACCTGTAGATTTTTCTTTATTTCACATAATACAACCTTCATTGCTGCCTGGATCTTTTTTATGCCGTTGAAGTACCCAGTGAGCTCCTGGAGCATCCTGATAACCAGTGTTTTGAAGTGTGCATCTGATAGGTTGGTTGTCCCTTCATAACTTAGTTGTATTTTTTCTGGAGCGTTGATCTGTTCTTTCATTTGGGCCATTTCTTTTTTTGCCCTCAGCACCCCTGTTATGTAGTAAGGGGTGGAGCCTTATGTGTCCACCAGGGTGGGGCAACCACATGCCTGCGCTGTGACGCTGTATATGGGGGAGGGGTCCAAGAGGGAACACTGCCACTTGCTCAGCTCTCAGCCGCCTTTCAGTCACTTCCCTCGCTTTCCACAAGCACACTGGGCCCTTCTGGTGCTGATTCCCGGGTGGGTGGGTTTGTGTACATTCTAGGACCCTGTTGGTCTCTCTGACGAACTCTCCTGTGAGGCTGGGAGTTTCTTGAACTGGATTTTATACAGTGAACTTTAACATCGAGATTTAGTAAGAATCCACAAAAGGTTCACACAGTATCATTAACCTTTTAAAAATGACTCCTAATTTAACATAATCAACCTGGCACTGAAGAAGAAACTGCGAGTTAGAACACATCACATCCACACAAGGTAAACAAAGACTCCTAGGTGCTTACCAATACTGTTTGTGCATCTGCCAGGTCAAAGGTTTGTTTTAAAGGTGCTAGGAAACATGCGGGGACAATGTGCTTATAAACAAAATCAGCAAATCCCACTGGTCCATCTTTACCTCCTGTCAAGAGAATTCAAATTTTCATCTTATATAAAAAGAAAGTGAATTTATCACTCGGGACAATTAGCTCCCAGCTCCTGTCTATTGTTAGGCTGAAGGCTCCATTTTGTCTCTTAAGAGTCTTAGGAAGCAGGTTGGGGAATGAAGTTAAAAAAAAAAAAAAAAAAATCATCCACCCTGGCTGGTGTGGCTCAGTGGATTGAGGACTGGCCTGCAAACCAAAGGGTCACCAATTCGATTCCCAATCAGGGAACATGCCTGGGTTGTAGGTCAGGTCCCCAGGAGGGGGCGTGTGAGGGGCAACCACACATTGCTGGTTCTCTTTCTCTTTTCCTCCCTCCCTTCCTCTCTCTCTCTCTCTCTCTCTCTCTGAAACTGAATAAATAAAACCTTAAAAAAAAAATCACCTTACCCCAGAGTTCTACCAACTTGGAGAGGATGATAAAACATGTTTTCTGTGCAATTGGATCTGGATATTCAACTGCTCCTTGAATCACAGTAACTAGAACTCGTTCTACATTCTCTGCTCCTGAGAAGAAAAACAACTCAGGTTTAATTGCTGAAAGAACTAGAAAGGCAACCTGAAAGCTCTCATTCCATACACAGTAACAAGACAAAAGCATTTACAGTTGATAAAATCCCCCAATTTTTATTAACTGTGCTCCTTAATTTTAAGCATAAAACATTGAAAAATCACTATTCCCTTGTTATCCTACACTCTGGATTTCCTATTTTGCCAAATTCTGTATATTCCCATTCATTTTTTAATTTCAAAAAATGGCAAACTGACCAATAAAACTCAATGGTCAGATCCATTCTGGCAGTTACCAGCATGCTGTTTATACTGAAGGACCAATTACAGAATACTGCCTTAAGAAATGGGGAACTAAATAACAATTAAATATATGGTCTCTACTTAAAAGTAATTCCTTGAAATAAATGAACTGTCATCCTAGGGGCCAACACACATCACTCCAAAAGTTTAGTGTTTATGTCGACTAGCTCTTGCTCACATAGACAGAATTGTGACAAAGACTTCAGCAGACAATTTAGGCATCACATGCATCCCCACCTTGGTTTGCTATAACTTCGCTCATTCCACTGCCTGTGACTGTTTGCAGGAAAGCAAAGTAACTCCTCCGCAACATCTGCTTCTCTAAAGCAGCAGACTGGTCATTTTCTTCCGCTGGTCGGAGCAATACTTCGAAAATTGCATGAAGCAGAGGCATGAACATTTGTTGTAAAAATGGAGATACCTGTATCTGAATATAAATATTGTTACTTCAGAAATGAGTAAAAAAATTATTATGAAGGGTAGTAAAAATTCTGTATTGCATACTTGAAAGTTTCTGAGATGAGTAAATCTTAAAAGTTCTCATCACAAAATATTCTGTAACAATGTCTAGTGACAGCTGTTAATGAGCCTTATTGTGGTGGCCATTTTACAATGTATACCAACACTGATTCATTATGTTATATACCTAAAACTAATATAATGTTATATGTCAATTATACTTCAATCTAAAAAATGAATACTGATAAATATAACTTAGAGAAAACCATGTATTAAAATGTTTCTTCAGAGTTTCTATTTAGGATATTTACATTAGTTAGCAAATAACAAGGTTAAAACAAAATCTACATGGCATATGCATTATTAAAAACATCAAAATTATTAAATTCAACCCATTTCCTACAGTTCAAGATCCAGGTTAAAGTAATAGGGAGTTAGAAATACTTCACAATCAAATAATGACAAGGAATGTTTTCAATTTAAATTTCAAGAAATGAATTCTATTGCTAAATTATAAATGCATTTGTATGATTGGGCTCTCAAGCTTTATATGCCACGGGGTAATTCTTCCCTTCTCTATGTCTGTTTCTCACTTATAAACTACAACACATATCTCCTAGGGTTGTTATAAGGATCGAACAAATTAATGTACAGGCAAATACTTAGAACGTATTTTAAATATATGCATTGTGTGTTAGCCATTCTTATTAGACAGCCTATATAATGCTTAACTTAAATCTCCTTGTACATAAAACTAGCTTTAGTATTGAATTACTTTTAAACTCCTGTGTGGGCACTGAAATTACAATATTTTTTATTTAGCTCTTTAGAAATTTAGTACTCAAAGCTGTTTTTATTTACTTTTCTAAAACAATAGACTAACAGTTTTCTTATGCTGCACAAAGCAGACAAGGTCTGTTTTTATTAAAACATCTATTAAGCATGTCCATTGTGTCAGGGAGTGTGCCAGACACTGGGGATGACAAAAATACATGATCCATGCATTCAAGTAACTCATATTTACAAAAATAAACTAAGGGGGCAAATGCCAAAATATATCTAAAGATAAATGCATCTAATCTACCAGGAGATCTAAGTCAGGAGGTGCTCTGGGGTTTGTGGTACCTTAAATTTGGCTGTGATCTGGTTGATAAGAGGAATGAACTCCTGAAGGTCCTTCGCTTCACAGTCTTTGAGCATGTGCTCCGAGGCAGACGGGATGAACGGAAGAACTTCCTCCTCTAGGCAGATTATCATGCGGTGGAGGAAAGTGCGGACGCCACTTCTGAGAACATCCTTTTGTAAGGGACAACTGAGGGCTGGCAAGAATGTCTGTAAACAGTCCAGATAAACTTCGGAACAGCCACACTGTTTCACAGTCTGCTTGTTGCTAAAAGCTTTGCTGGTTCGACTACATAAGCAAAATCAGGAAATTATTTTTAACTTTATTCTTTAAAAGTTTTATAAAGTAATAAAAAACAAAGTACAACAAATTCCAAAACTGATAAAGACAATTCTTTATTTTCCATATCACAATACCTTTCCATCTTTAGTTTAATACGGTTATTTGCAAACTGTTGCTTCCAGTGACTATTCCAGAAAGCTCAAATTAAAGTAAATGAATGAGATGTAGTTTCGACAATCTCCCTAATCTGAGTCCACCTAAAAGTTTTACTACAATCCTACTGATAAAGTAAGCAGAACAAAAAGGGGAAAAATCCACATACTATGACTACGCTGTCCTACTAGACAATCTGCAAATTACCCATTTAAATTTAGAAAAGTCTTTAGAATCAAGTTATTTATACAACTAATAATTAGCTTTTGCACTGAAATATTCTGTAGAGCAATTTCTCTACATAGCTTCTAATTAGCAGTCACTACAATTTTCATACTGTTATTGTTTGTTACTAAAAAGCATTGGTGGAGAGAAAGAAACAGCAGCTTGGATGGTCTTCAGGACACAATGCCACAGCTAAAAAGAAGCCCCAGGACTTTCTTTTCAAGGTACCAAGGCTAAACCAAGATGTCCCATTATGGCCTTGGTATACAAACACTTTAGCTCACCTCCTTAAATACACAATCAGTTTATACCAAAGAAGTCAGAGTTAAGGACTCAGTTGTCAAGGCAGAAACTCAGAATGTTAACAATCTACTCACTTCCTCAGCTAAATTTTGTAATTCACTACATTTAGAAAAGAAAGGTTTAGACAATTCTCTAGACAATCCAATTTTGTGGATATATGCCCAACTCTAAAAGATCCAGACAAGCAAACAGTTCTGTTTGTGTAGAGACACTCACTTTGTAATTTTAGTCGTGATCACTCACCTGGCAAATCCAACAGCATGGTTGAGACAGTCTGCTAGAGATGTCTGCCTTTCTTCGTCTTGTGCCAGCATCAATTTTTCTAACAGAATTTTAAACTTTTCCATTAGGGGAGTCAACAGATTCCTCATTAAGGCTTGCTTCCGTTCTGCTGGGTAGTCACTATTAACGATCAGCACTCCAGCTGTCTCATAAATAAACAGTTGATCATCGCTGCTCAACAGAGACTGGTAACCATTCTCCTAAAATGAAATTTAGGCTCACTGAAATTTTTCCTTGTTCAGGTCTTCTTACTTAAGCAAAGTAAGTGCCAAAGCGAGGTGATAAAGTCTATCACATCAACTCATTATAAAAATGTAGACTGAGTACTTATAAAAAACACACTTTCTCCCAGGACCATGTAACACAAAGAAAACTGAATCAGAGGCCAAAAGCTCATGGGTCTAACTCCACCCTTGTCGAGACTTTGCAAATGGTCATGATGATCAGTTAGCCTTCTCACTTGTTTTCTCTTGGTTTTTTGTAAGATTGTTAGGAGGCTAAACATGAGGTATATGAAGGTATTTTGAATGCTAGTACAAATGCCATACAAGTTAATATTTTAAAGAGTTGAATAACAGCAAAAGCCACACAATAAATATATACACACATACACAACAGTTGCTACTTTAAAATATTTGAACATCTGACTGCAAATAAAAAACCAGACCTCATTCAGGCAGAAGCAAACATCCCATTATTGGTCAATTTTCATTAATGAGTTTTGTTGTTTTTTACATTTATGCAGCTAGGGAGGCCAAGCAGATTGTGGGGAAATATCACATACCCCTCTAGGTCAAACGCTCAAGCTCCCTATTAACACAAAAAAAACCTAGTCTTAGATAAATTATGTCATGGTTTTATAATAAAAGAATTCCTCATCTCTTAAAAAAAGAAATGCCCTGATTTAGAAGTAACTGAAGTGTTTAAGTGCTGCTAGGACTAATCACTGCGCTAGGAATTGAGAACACAAAGTAGCTACATGAATATAAGGCACTCAAAAAATAGGTCACTGTGAACTGCCAAGAAAAACTGGCATTAATTGGGTGAAGTACTTTAATATACCAGCTTTTATAGTATGTAGGCAAAGATAATTTGACCATATAATTTGCTAGTAACCTTTCACACAGTGAAATTACATAACCTGTATACCCTAAATACTGATATTTAAACTTAAAAGAACAAAAGTACTAATTTTCGTTCAATACTTTTTAAGTGGGAGCTTTAGTAATTTTTATCAAAATAAAAAATTGAGTCAATGTAAATATTGTTTTACACAAAAACATGTTATTAGTCAAGATGTGCCTACAAAGTACCTCAAGGTAAATCTTCCTATTGAAATGGAGACCAAAATATTCAGATAAATAAGCATTAAAATTTTTTAAGTCTCAAGCATGAAAAGTTAAACACAGAAAAGCTTCAGTCTAATAGTAGTAGTTGCCGAGAATAGCTAATATGATCACAGCACTAATTTGGAAATTGAATTTTCCCTTCTCCATAAAACACTTCACCAAAATGTAACAGTACAGAGGGAGCAAACCGTATCTCACATTGCCAAATTTATCAGTCAACTCTTGAGTACTTTCTATTTCTATGTTTTATTTACTATATCTCTACAGTTTTGACAAACAAAACTACACCTTGCACACAGCACCCACATTTGAAAAAATGAATGCCGACAAAAGCATTAGTGTTAAAGGGTTACGTGGCCTCAAAATTTGGGGAAAATCTATAACTTGGAAGAATAGATACTTACAGGTGGAGAAAGCTCTAATAAATCTTGTATTCTATTCAGAATATCCTCGATGAAAGGATTCATTTGTTTACTAAGTAAAGGCAAAAAGAAAATCACAGTAACATAAATAACAGTACTTGAAAAGCTGCTAAAAATAACAAATCCCCCTTTAAGGCAGAACTAAAAAAGTTCAGTTCTAAGTCAGTCACATGTGATTTAACTGTCCACCAGTAGAGGAGGAGGTAAAAGAACTACGGTGCATTTACACAATGGAATACTATGCAGCAGAAAAACAAACAAACAAAAAGAAGGGATGCCTGCCTCTTGTGACAGCATGGATGGAACCGGAGACTATTATGCTAAGTGAAATAAATCAGTCAGTGAAAGACAAATATATAACCTCACTTATAAGAGGAATCTAATGAACAAAATAAACTAATGAGCAAAATAGAACGAGAGGCATGGAATCATGGAATAATAGACTGACAGCTGCCAGAGGGGAGGTGGATACTGATAGAAAGGAGATGAAGGGATTAGTCAAAGAACATACATGAAGCACCCATGGTCATGGATTGACTACAGAAGTAGGAGGCGGACTGGGTAGAAAGGGGAAAAAGGGGAAAAAAATGGGACAACTATAAAAGCAAAAACAATAAAACATTAAAAAAAAAAGGATTAACTACATGATCTTTTGATAAAATAAAGTTACCTGAATCTGATCATTTATTATCCAGTTCGGAGAATTTGGTGAAACATTTTTGTTTATCATTACAGTCTTTTGAAGTTCACTGTTTTTATTTAAAGTGAATTGTTTTTAAGAGTTTAAATTTGAGTTGATACTCAAATATTCAAACATTTTAAAAATATTTTATTTATTTATTTTTAGAAAGGGAAGGGAGGGAGATAGAGAGAGAGAGAAACATCAATGTGCGGTTGCTGGGGGTCATGGCCTGCACCCCAGGCATGTGCCCTGACTGGGAATCGAACTTGCAACACTTTGGTTCGCAGCCCACACTCAATCCACTGAGCTACGCCAGCCAGGGGAAATATTCAAATTTTAAGAGTTTAAATTTAAGAGTCTGATATTTAAATCAGATGGCAGGGTAACTGCATTGACAAAGGGTGTATTTAATGAAAGACTTCTTCATTTCCTCCTCTGCCAGTCATTTCTTAAAAATTTTCCTCTTTTATTTATACGGACGTGGAAGCTGAACTCAAGTCAATCATTAACAGACCTGGATTCATGTACATTCATCTGAGTTAACAGCTGTGGAAAATCCTCCCCCACTTTATTTTTCACAAAAGTTTATTCAATTTCCTAGTTAGCTTTGTAATAGCTTTCCATTTTCTGATCCTATTTTTCCTTTTTGATAAATGTCAAATAGGATTAATGTTTTATTTTAGAACTATAGCATCTTAAAATAACATGTATGTTACAAGTCATTACATTTTAATAATAGTTAATTTTTATACTACTAAAGTTTCTAAAGCAGTAATAAACTGCTATAATAATATAATTTAAAAAAGAAAAGCAACAATATTTTTTAATTACCACCTTATAAGCCTAAGAAACAGCAGTTTTCATACTAACAACTGTAAAGAATACAAAACAGGTTAGTTAAAAATGTACTTCCAGGGAATATATTCTTTAGAATTTCAAAGAAGTCATATACACTGATCCATAGCAATAAAATTGTTAGTTAAATAAGTAATTATATAATGTTATTAGTGATTAGTGTTATATAGTTATGCAAACAAATTGCTTTTTAGTCAACAAAGTAAATGAATGAGAAGTCATCCTAACATGATACAAAGAAGGAATACTTAAAAAAATGTCATATAACAGAAAACAAATGAGTCTACCACAGGCTCTTAGAGAATAATTTACAGGTCATATCTGATGATCCTAAATATAAGAATAAAACATAGCAGCTGAAATTTTATACTTACTTGAGAGATTTGACAAATCTGGAGAAGAGGTAAGCGGTTCTGCTCCGCACTTTTGCATTGGAATGCCGCAGACCTCTATGATCTAAGAAAGCCATCTAAAGAAACAGAGACAGTTTTACTATGTCTGCGCATATGTAAGACTTTTGCTGCTGCTGGTGTGATACATTTTTATTCACATCAAATTTTACTTCTTAGCTTCTAGAAGGCAGGAACCAGATGTGTGTGTGTATACATGTATATACTACCTACATGGCACACAAACAGACCCTTGAAGACTTGTTTTAAGTGACTGATTAGTCAGACATTTGAAAAGAAACAGAGAGGGGTTAGTTTCCGTGTGTTCAAGAGTTTTTGAGAAGCTTTGGCTCTGGAAAATGTTATAAAAGATAGAAAAACAGAACACTATCGGCTCATTAGCTGAAATACATGGAAAATTACAAAAATCGAGAGTAAAATGTATACTTACTAGTACACATGGAATGTGCTGAGGTTCAACTGTGAAAAACTTTTCATATCTAACAACAGTTTCGAAGAACTCCAATGTCACAGATGTATGCTGGTAGGAACTAACTCCTGATGTTACCAACTAGAGCAAGAGAAAATTAAGAAATCCATCCTTATTTGCTATAATATCAAAATGCCCCAGTATTAATAGATACTAAGCTCTAACAGGAACCCCCCATTAGCTTATAGTTAAAACAGAAAATTATATTCAAATAAATTATTTTCAGTATACTTACAGTTCGCATCATATCCTGCAAAGCACTTGCTTTTGAAACATCACCTGAGAAGTGAGCACCATGAGATACTGGAAGAGCTTCTGCCAACATATACAGCAATCTTATTGCTACTTCAACTTCCATGAACCGAGTAGTCTGCCAGTTCCTGCCAAGGTATCATATATCACTGAAATCTGAACATAAACTTTCTATACAACTAGTGATGCGAGAATCAAAAGACACCAACAAAAGCCTCTTTAATTATTGCAAAGTCATAACAACTGTTAATTTTTTGTCAGGCAATATAATTTATATCACAAAACTAGAAATGACTGATGCTATCCATTTTGTTGTTTATATTCCAAAAAGCAGCATTTCCCTCAAGAAAATCAAAGTGATAAGTACATTATTTCAGAGATATACATAGGATCTTAGTAAGTCAACAGATTAATGAAGCACATGAATCATTTGGTAGAGGATCATCAGGGAGAAAGGAAAGACGTGACCTGTTAGAACGTAACAAACTTACTGCAGTGTAGAACTAAAAACTCTGCGAACAGAAGCCAGCAACAACTCCGGTGAAACTTGAGCAAGCCTGTCCAGCAGTAATTTCAGCTGCTTCCTGTATTCTACAAACATGGCTTCATCTTCACCCTATGATGTATATTTTAAAATTCTCACTTTAAAAATTAAAATACCTTAAAACCCAGGTAAATGGTGAGTTGACAGTTTTCTGCATTTACGAATTTAATACTTCCAATTTTCCTCAATATTCATTTACATAGGAAACTGCACCAGGTTTATTAGTAGCCTTTCCCCTCCTGCTCCCAAATAAGTATCTCTGAACACAGGCCTAAACCTTGAAGGCTGAGAACCGAAACAGTATGGGAAGGAGGTTTAAGGATAAGAGTCTAGAGTCAGAATTTGTTCCTGTTGGGTTTTGTGAGAACTTCAGCACTTTGTTTACATTCCTGTATCTCTCTATCCACTGTAAAAACTGTAGTAATATTGTATGACTGAAGCTATTATATGTTACGGGCCTGGCACTTTGTAAGTGCATAGTGTGTTGCTCACCATCACGACAATCCTCTTATAGTTCAAGGTTTTTGAATGCCCCAGGTAAGGAATGGGATACTAGCACACAACTACACAGTAGATGCCATGATTGAGTTACTAGAAAGCACCTGATGGCCCTTGTGTTTCATGGGAAGCTGACTCTCTGGCAACCCTGGACAAGACTTCTACCCAGAACAAGCCCAGGGAGCTCAATACTTCATTTCCAGTCTGCTGTCTACACTGACTGGGCCTCCACTTACCACTCTGGTCAAACACAAAGTAAGGCAAGATCATCAAAAATACTGTCAATATTTTATAAAGTTCAGTGCTACAAAGTATTTTAAAAAGGATTACTTTAAAAAGGCACCAAATACCAAACATGAAGGATTAGGAGGCTTCCATTAATTTTACCTAAAGTTGGTGATATAAATCACATTAATTTTTTAAATATTTGTCTTAAAGGATTTTAAAATAATCAAAACTTGAAATATTAATTTGATGTAAGTCAACAATAAAAGTGATTTCTCCTCAATGCAAAATTCTTAAAAAAAATTAAAAAATTTTATTTAATTTTAGACAGGGGAGGGAGAAAGAGAGGGATAGAAACATCAATGTGTGTTTGCCTCTCATGTGCCCCCTACTGGGGACCTGGCTTACAACTGACGCATGTGTGCCCTGACTAGGAATCGAACCAGTGACCCTTTGGTTCGAAGGCTGGCGCTCAGTCCACTGAACCACACGCCAGGGCTCAATGCAAAATTCTTACCTCATTTTCAAAGTTATATTCTTCATCATAAGTCAATTTTTTCATAACAGCCAACATGATTGCCTATAATTAAGAATAAAATACCTTTTGTCAGTCTCCTTTAATTTCAAAAATTAGAAATTAAGCTATTATTTCCAGGCAGATTATAGACAGATATTATTACTAATTTAAAAGAATAAAAAAGAAGTCAATTACCTCTACATTAGCTTTCTGCTGATCTGAGAGCACTGTAAGCTGTTAAAAAGTAAGCAATAATTTATTAGGTTTCCTAAAGTTATACTTGCTTATCAGAATATTTTTCTAATCGAATAACACCTTTAAAAACAACTTTTCTGGAGGGTAGTTTGGCAGCTCCTTTCTATACAAGGTGGGGCACAAGTAGGTTTGCAGTTGTTCATATGAAAAATAATACATTAATTAATAAAAACACAAGAATAAACTCTTTCACATAACCATGATTATAAACCTACTTTTGCCCCACCTTGTATTTTTAAAATGTACCTAAGATTTAGCAACACCACATTTAATAAATAACTTGACACAGGCAAAGGCATGGAGATGAACTTGATTTTTAAAGATACAGTGTATTCAGCAAAGAAGGTTATAGGACAGTGAAGTCTGATCTCACCTTGTTTTTAAACAAGGCAGGAAAGCATAAAAATCCATTATGAGAGCCACAATGGGATTACCAATAGTGATAAGAACTTTCTTCATACTATTCAACACTGCCGAAAAATTCTTAAAGTACACATGCAGACATACGTTATATTTATAACAGACGGAACCTAAACTCAGTTGGAAAAAAATTATTTTAAGCTTGACTTGATTCAACTAATTCAATATAAATAAAATAAAAATGGTTCTCTCATCTAATGTTATAATGAGAAGTTACTAATTCTTAAAAAGGCTACATGCTATAATATAGAGACACATACCTTGCCATTTTAAGTTCTTTTTTAAAAAAATATTTTATTTACTCTTAGAGAGAGGAGAAGGGAAGCAGAAAGAGAGGGAGAGAAACATTAATGTGTGGTTGTCTCTCGAGTGCCCCCTACTGGGGACCTGGCCTGCACCCCAGGCATGTGACCTAGAGACTGGGAATTGAACCAGCATCCCCTTGGTTTGCAGCTCGGTGCTCAATCCACTGAGCCACATCAGCCAGGGCGCCTTTTTATGTTCTCACTGGAAGTGATTCTCTGAGAGAAATTTTCATTGTAAAAAATTATTTATAAAATATAATATATATGTAATTAAAGTAAACTGTATTTAACAAAATTTCTACTGTATTTAGAAATAAACACAGTTTAAAAATGAAAAAATAACCTAAACCTATAATTAATTCTGAAGCTTGTTGTTAGTCTTAAGAATTTTAGAACCTAGCAATTTGTTTTCTGGCTAAAAAGTTTAAAAAAGAAAAGAAAAAGGAAATACATTAATATTTAACAATAAATGTTATTAGGTAGTAGACTTATGGCTATTTTCATTTTTCCTATTATTTTCCAATTCTATATTATCCACTGAAAAAAAGTTAAAAGAAGGACTTACTTGTTTTAAAATATGAAGGTAATCGTAACAAAATCCAATAATGTTAGAAGATATATCATCATCCTCATGGATCAGTAGCTGTAACATCAGTGCCACTTTTGTTTCAATAGCTTGTAGTGCCTCTTGTGCATTCTTGATATCCCCACTCTTAATTAATTTAGTCCAGCTAACTATCAATGACTGTCCCATTCCATTTACCAATTTAGAAAATCTGGCGAGGAAGTCAACATCTTCTTCCTAAAAGGAATCAAACAGTCCTCAATTTAAACCACCCACCTAAGACTAGGAGGGAAAACCCAAAATTTATGAATCGAGTGCCAATTATAGGATTCAACTTAAAACATTAGACATTTGACAATTCTATCATTTCGACTGGGACATTTTTAGAATTTGAATTCTTCTACCATTATACACTAGTGCTCTTCAAAGCAACTGTTTTCAATGACTATAGTCCTGTAGACATTGCTGACTTCTAAAAGCTTAAAAACACAGATGGGATGTGTAGTTTTTAGAACCTTCTCTCTAAACTACTGAACTTAGTAAATATGCTCTAATATTGGTGCGGTCATATTATAGCATGTGCAACAATTTACAACAGTGCTTCCTGTTACTATTGAATTTGAGATTGAATTTGAGCCTTCACCGTGATGCGGAGATACTGCGATCACAATTACTTGCCTAAGGTCACAGCAGTGTTACAGCCAAAACACAAACTTAGTTTGTCATTAATTATCCTTATGATGTTATCCTATAAAATTAGATTTTCACCTTCACCTTTTATGTCTTTCACCGGAGACTAAATAAGATGATTATTAAGAGATGTAAGAAAGCGATACTATTCGTCTGTCAATAAGGAACCCACTGGAGCCCTGCTGCTGACCTATTGGCAATATGAACATTTCTTAGTAATTCTTTATCACTGTCACAGGTAAAATTAAAATAACCTTCAAACTGTGTATCTAAATTACTAATTTACCACACAGAGTTGTTGGGGTTAAATCTTAATAGCTCAAATGAGTAATGATTCAAAAGTATGATGAAAATATAACATTTATAAGTAAGTGTACCTTTGCTCAAAATGCACTGTCATGTAAATAGCACAGTCCCTTGCTACTTCAAGTATGGTTTGTGGGCTAGCAGCATCTGCATCACCAGGGAGTTTGTTAGAAATGCGCACCTGAAAGCACCATCCCTGATTTTCAAATTTAAGAACTGGTATAATCCATCGCCTAAGACAAATACTACAGAAACATTATGGCTTTCAGGACACAGTATTTCATTATTATAATCTCAAGAAGAGTTTCTAACATTAAAAGAAAAAAGAAAGCATATTCAAATTACTACCTATACTGGTTTGTTCTAACAATTTTTAAAATTTTATACATAAGTTTACTGACCTGGTCAATGATGAAAAACCCAGCAGACTGTAATACTTGACACAAAGATTCTACTAGTTTCATTTTATCAACAGGATCCATTCCTTTATTTACAATTTCAAACAAACAGTCACATGCTTCTTCCCTTAGAACTTCTATTGACATATGACCTAGCAGCATATTTATAAACCTGGCAATGGAATAAAATTGTTATAATGTTTTTAAACTCATAAGCTTCACATACCGTATTTTGCCGGTTTATATTTTAAAAATATGCTTACCTGTCATTGGCTATAAGGGATAAGTCTATCCAAGAAACATAAGCCCCAACTACTTCAAGGCACTGACATGTCACTTCTGAATTAGTATACTGATAATTTTGTAGGATTTGGTACCATGATTCCACCAAGTTTGGAATGCACTGTTCCCTCATGGTATCCTTTATTAGAGTGTTTCTACGAGCCTCCTAAAAACAAAACAGAACACTTTACATGCAATCAAAGCAGACTACCCCACAAAATAATGTTTCACATCATAATAACTGCACACAATAAATTACCTCACCACTAAACTTCCAGGCTTGTCAACCCATTTCCTATTTATCAGCTCTAAAATCATACCTGATGTATCTATTTCCTTTTTCTGTTCTTTTCCTCATGCCAGACTTAATCTCTTATTAAACACAAACTGTAAATATCTATTACTTAAAACTCTGAGGCATGTGGTAAGTTACTGCTCAATATAATACAAACATGATTAAAAAGAATGGCAATAACTTCAATGCATGATGATAAACTTTATAAATGTCAGATACACAATGAACTCAAAATTATTATACACACTTGAATTAAACTATTTCTATTGTGCTCTTTGGGAATAAGGAGAAAGTTGTATCAGGTAATGAAATACAGAAAGACTAAGGTGAAGGGCTATGTGACCAAGAATACAGAAGAACCCAGCACTGACTCATAAGCAATGCTCCTTCCTCAATGACTATATAGCAGTAAATACAGACCACATTTTTCTACAAATTCATAGAAAATAAATTTGTGTTTTTCACCAAAGAAAGTGCTCACCTAGTTAAAAAAAAAATCTAAAACAATACTCTAATTTCAACCTATACTTGGGGAGAAAAAATCCAAAATTTAAGTTTCTTTGTAAAACAAAATTCAAAATGTTGAGTCAATCTATAATAATTCTTAAGAATGTATGTCTCAAAAATAAGATTCATGCTCCTTACTAGAAATTAATGGGAAATTACTTACCTCTGATGTATGTACTACATCACGGTCCACCAATTCTGAATCAATAGCCATGAGGATTCGGAGGTACAGATCTACACCCCTTGGGTTTAGGTCCACTACTGAGAGAATGTCAAAAAAAAACTTGGGCCATTTAGTGAGATATTCTGTAACAAAAAGCAAGGCGAAAACTTGGGCTGCTTTATTTCTTATAAAGGTCTTCTCTGGTTGGGGATTCAGCATCTGGCAATCAGAGAAACAGTCCATGAAATTAAATGTAAATTGAAAAGATTCAAGCACATTGTTGACTTATTTAACATCAACAGGCAAAACACATCACACTTCAACATGGTCTAGATTACCTGTGCAACAAATACACTTGAAATTTTCCAAAGTATTCAGACAACTGAGCAGATGGGGAACAATCAAATGAACAAAGGAGCTACTTATTTCTCATTCTCAAACTCTCAGAGGAAAGTTTCATGTGCAAGTTTTACTGATTCCTATAATTTTTCTAAGAAAAAGTTCAATTGATTTGCCTTTAGCTACTTGGTTTTCATGGGAAAATAAAAATTCTAACCATACAACTTTTTATATGTCATTAAGATTAGCTAAAATTAACAAAAAAAATCATACTGTGATAAAGAACTCTGCCTTTGAAAACAGGTCTTTGTGAAGAGTGTATTCAGGAGGGCTCACCTTTATTTTTTAAATTATCATTAAAAAAATTTTCCCACTACAGTTGACATTCAATTTTATTTTACATTAATTTCAGGTGTACAGCATAAAGACTGGACATTTCATGATTTACAAAGTGATCCCCCCTGATAAGTCCAGAGCCCACCTGGCACTACAGGTAGTTATTACAATGTCACTGACTACATTCCCTATGCTGTACTCTACATCCATGTAGGAGGGGGGCTCACCTTTAAGAGTGAACAGAAAGTTGCTTTTGTCAAGTATTAAGACGAATTACATTTTAAGACTAACATTTCCACAATGTGTCATGGAAAGCATAATAGTTTCAGTTACTACTGATGCAATTTAAAATTATTGCTAAGTTTTCATCAACCTATGATCTTTAAAACAAGCACTTTCTAAAGGAGCTACAGGATTAAATGGAGGATAAATGACCAACATTTCTGGGGTAAACTTGCAAATTCTTGCAAAAATAAAAATTTAAATACCCAGTAATTTGAGGTACTGAATGAAATTACAATTTTACCTGAGCCTGAAGCCAAGATATGAGTGTCTCCCTAATTAGTTGTTGCTGAACAGTAGTTAGTTCTGAGTATCTGTTCAAAAGAGACAAAAATAATAAAGGCTATGTTTTTGATATCTTCAGTTTTAAAAATAAACACCTTGCATACAATCGAAAAGGAAAATTTGTATAATACACAATTATTTAAAATTCCCCCAAATAAATTGAGAATGCCCTCTCTCATCACTGCTTTAAGGAAAAGACAGGTGCAGGAGTGGCAGATAGGGTATCAATATTGGTATTACTGGTAGTTTGATCTGTGGTTCAGTTTACACTGCAAATATGGCAGCTACACATTTCCCAAATGGAAATATCACCACGTTCTGAGTTCTGTGGATTACAGAATAAATCCACAGACAGGCTAATGGTCCTCTGAGCAGTGGTTTGTTGTTCTCACTTAATTAAGGCGGGGCTCTGAACACAAGTGTCTATGCTGCCACTCAGCCCCAACAGAGAGCTGTAGTGTGGAAAGACAGGCCGGGTGTTGCTAGAGCTTCTGATATTTTCAGAGGAGCTGGAAATCTATTTTTTCCTCCCTGTTGAAATGGCTGAATTTTTATATGTAACCAACAAATTCAATATTTTTAAAACTTTTGGGACAAATCAAAATACATCTATAAAGTGGATGTGATATACAGTGTTAATTTACAACCTGTATTATGGTTTCTCTAAAAACAGAAAAGCTAATTAAAAAAAAAAAGGCTTCTCCCCACAAATCTCAGAGTCAAACAGTGAGAAAATGACTTACTTATATTTAACTTGATATTCTAACACTTGAAAGCAGAAAAACTTTATGTGATCATCACTGAAAAAGAAAAAAGAAAATTAGATAAACAGAATATATAAATTGGGAAAAAAGATAAAATATCAATAAACAACATAGTTGAAAAGCTTCTCAAATCAGACCTTTGACAGGCATTCTACTTACTGACCTTATTTATTAATTCATATCTATTTGTTTAAAAAGATAAAATAATTTTCAACATTATACAACATTCAATATCTCCACTAAATCTAGCAAGCAGAACCACCAAACAAATTAAGATTCACCTTAAGTATAGTGCTTTGCAAACAGAAGACACACCCCCCACATTCCAGATGTTAGGTTTCCTGGAAAACTACTAAACCCTAGGTGTTAGAATGACTGCCAGAGGCTGCATTAACTCAGAGATGGCCATCACAGTCATACTTAAAATTCAACCCCAGACAGTACTATTGCAGCCACATCCAAAACAAGTGGAGTCACCTGGACTGGCAGTCTAGCCTCAAAACTCATACAGAAAACCAAGCTACAAATATATTGCCCTTAAAAAGGGGGAGCAAAAATCAGTATCCACCAATTATCAACTTTCAATGGTCTCTTAAGGGGTGAGCCAGAGTTGCACTGAGCCAGCTAGAAACTCTGACAAAGTCCCTTTAGTGAATAACAATCTATCCAAGATAGTTGGTTTGAGCCAGGCTTAGTCATGCAACAAATTTTTCATATAGAAAGCTGGTCAATACAAGACTGGAGATGTTATCTTCATTTAGAAAATATGAATTAACCAAACAAAATATTTTCACCCATAAGATGAAACTTAATCTCTTAAAAGTTGTTTTTTAAGTTAGGTTTTTAAATATTACACACACACACACACACGCATTTTATTGATTATGCAATTATAGTTGTCCCAATTTCCCCCCTTTGCCTCCCTCCACCTGGTACCCCTCACTCCCTCTGGCATCCCCTAGTTCATGTCCATAGGTCATGCATGTAAGTTCTTTAGCTACTCCATTTCCTACACTGTTCTTAATATCATTCTGTCTATTCTGTACCTACTGATTTATATTTTTTAAAAAATGTATTTTATTGATTTTACTATTACGGTTGTCCCAATTTTCCCCCCTTTCCCCCCTCTGCCTGCTACTATTCCCTCCAGCAATTCCCTCCAACCTCAGTTCATACCCATGGGTCATGTGTAGGTTCTTTGGTCCATTTCCTATACTGTTTTGTTTTCCCCTTTCTATACTGTTCTTAACATGCCCTGTGTATTTCATACCTATCAATTTGTACTTCTTAATCCCTGCACCTTTTCCCCCACTTACCCCCTTCTCCTCCCCAGCTGATGACCCTCCAAATGATCTCCGTATCTAACATTCTATTTCTGGTCTGCTTGTTTACTTAGTTTTTTAGATTTAATTATTTTTAGTTATGAATTTATTGCCATTTTAATGTTCACTGTTTTGATTCTCTTTTTCTTAATTAAGTCCCTTTAACATTTCACATAATAACAGTTTGGTGATGATAAACTCCTTTACCTTTACCTTGTCTGGGAAGCACTTTATCTGCCCTTCCATTCTAAATGATAGCTTTGCTGGATAGAGTAATCTAGGCTGTGGGTCCCTGCTTTTCATCACTTTGAATACTTCTTGCCAGTCCCTTCTTGCCTGCAAAGTTTCTTTTGAGAAATCAGCTGACAGTCTTATGGGAACTCCTTTGAAGGTAACTCTCTGCTTTTCTCTTGCTGCTTTTAAGATTCTCTCTTTATCTTTAACCTTTGGCATTTTAATTATGATGTGTCTTGGTGTTGTCTTTGTGTCCATCTTGTCTGGGACTCCCCGTGTTTTCTGGACTTCCATGTCTACTTCCTTCACCAGATTAGGGAATTTTTCTTTCATTATTTTTTCAAATACGTTTTCAATTTCTTGTTCTTCCTCTTCTCCTTCTGGCACCCCTATAATTCGAATGTTGGAACATTTGAAGTTGTTGGAGAGACTGCTTATACTAGCCTTGTTTTGGATTCTTTTTTCTTCTTGCTGTTCAGATTCAATGTTTTTCTCTTCCTTATGTTCCAAATCATTGATTTGACTCTCAGCCTCATCCACTCCCCTCTTGGTTCCCTGTAAATTTTTCTTATTTTACTAGGTGTAACCTTCATTTTTGCCTGGGTCCTTTTTATGCTGTTGAAGTACTCAATGAGTTCTCTGAGCATCCTAATAACCAATGTTTTGAATGTTGCATGTAATAGATTATTTATCTCCATTTTGTTTAGTTCTTTCTGGAGTTTTATTGTTCTTTCATTTGGGCTATATTTCTTTGTCTCATTTTGGCAGCCTCCCTGTGTTTGTTTCTATGTATTTGGTAGAGCTGCTCTGACTCCCTGTCTTAGTAGTGTGGCCAATTGTAGAAAAGTCCATAAGTAAGTTGGATGGGGTAGAACCTTAGGTAATTAATCCCCATGGCAGTGCAACCCATGTGTACCAGGTTGATGAAATCTGCGATATAGTGCCGCTCTGTGGCTCGGTGTGGGGAGGGCTCAGAAAGGGGATAATGCTGCTGCCTGACCCTTAGAGTTTTGTTTGAGAGGAAGCTATCTCCAAGCACTTGCCAAGCCAGACACTTCAATTTCTCCCTGTATACCACTGGTGCCCTTCCAGTTACTGCCCTGATGCTGAAGCCCAGGGGGAGTGAATCTGCATAAATCTTAAGTCTTGCAGGAGCTTTAAGAGGAGACTCCTGAGAATCCCTTGGTTTCTTCCGCTGCCCCAATCCCTACTGGTTTTTATAACCAAAAGTTACGGGGACTTACCTTCCTGGCACTGGAACCCTCGGCTGGGTGGTTTGGTGTGGTACTGGGATACCTCACTCTTGATTTGTATTCACTACACATGCGTGAGGGACCAGCCTGTTCTGCACCTCTAACTGTACCCATCTGGATGAATGTGACTTCTTTAACTCCTTGGTTTTTGGACTTCCATACAGCTCAATTTTCTGATGATTCTAGGTGATAGTTGTTTTGTAGTCTAGTTGTAATTTTTGCTGTGGTTGTGCAAGGAGGCGAGCTGTGTTTACCTATGCATCCATCTTGACTGGAAGTCTGATCTTGGTTAAAGTTAGGTTTATTTGGCATCTCTTCTAAGACTTTAGGGTTTCTATCCTTATCATGGGTGACACTGAAGCCTTAACTTGTTATACAAGACTTCGATTTCCTACTCAAAAAATAAACTGCCTGGGCCTGGTATCTCAGTTGGTTTTAGTGTCATCCTAATATACCAAGGTTATGGGTTTGATCCCCCGTCAGGGCACACACAAAAATCAACCAGTGAGTGGATAAATCAACCAGTGAGTGGAATAGCAAATCGATGTTTCTCTCCCTCCCTCCCCCCCAAATCAATAAATAAAAATTAAAAAAAACCTATATGAAGCCTTTACTTAACAGCTAGTCCTTATTTACTCTAAAACATACAGATGTTCTCAAAATCAACTTTTTCCCTAAAATAGAGCACTTGGTTTCGGCTGTAAAAATGTAGTAAGTGATACCCACAGCATGCTGAAAGCTACACTAGGAGCCACCACTAACCATCAGGAACTTCTCACAGAAGCAAGGTGTTTGCCTGTAGCCAGTCAGTTGTATTTCCCTGTGTTACAGCTATGCTAGTTGTATCTCTTTAGTAATTAAGTTAGTTAATTATTATATAAACTAATGACATGACTATAATGAGAGTTTTTATTTTTGTAAAAATTAAGTTGAATGCTTTAGAAAGACTTCCCCGGAACTCACATTGCACGGGGGAGATCCTTGTACATGTGTGATGGGGGCTAGATAATAACCCCAAAACTTGGAGAGGTGGGGGCAAACAACTAAAAAGTTTAGGAACCTGCATTCATTGTTCCTCAATCCACTACAGAGACCCAAAGTGGGAACTGCAGAGGATGGATTATGGGTCTGATCAACATAAGAATGATGAAGCATGTACACAAAGAAAAGACCCTGGTCCAGCATCAAGACTGGTCATTTGAATGCATATATATTTTAAATTAAAGTAAAATGTATGATTACCTCCTTTAGCAACTTTTTAGAAAACCAACTATCATTCACATCATAAGAAAATACGGAGTTTTTTTTACTCTATTGTATTCCAGTTGGGATCTACTATCAGGTACATGGCATAAGGCAAAGGATAGTTTTACTAAAAGTTCAATCTTGGGATGGCCAAATTATTAGTTTACTATTTTTAAAAAATTTCTATCCTGAGTGGTTTCCGAAAACACAAATCACAAAATGTTTACATGGAAACATTCTCTAAATACAGGTAAATTTAACAGTCCCATCAAGTTCACAGAAATTTAAATTCTGAGAGCCGTGTAAATTTTGTTTTCATTACCTGTACGTCCTCTGAGCTAGAGCTTCTGCACACACCTGCCAGGCATCTGGGGAGATCTTTAACTGCTCAAAATAGGCCACGGCCTGTAAGATTGCAAAGCAAAAATGCATTTGGATTGTCAATCTCAATGACCTGTTGACAGTAAACAAATATTCTGTGAGCGTCAAACCTGTAACAAATCAGTGAATCTAAAGAAAACGAGTTAAGATGTTGAATTTGGGCTTCTGCATCTGTGCCACTTAGTGATCACTCTAGAAAAAAGGTTAAATAAAAGACAAATCCATCAGTTAGATACTCAAACCTGTTTCCCTACAGCCAAGGAGACAACACAAAAATGCCCATCAGACCTTGCTGGATCATTAGGTGGCTTGACAAAGAAAACATACAAGTGCTTGTCAAAAGCAATTTAAAATGCTATACACAGGGTATTTTTTTCCTATTTAATAGCAAATAGGCTATTAAAGAGGTGATTATAAAAGACAAAGCATACTCCATACACCATTTGGTCTACAATTAAACAGAGGAGACTGTTTCAGTTCAACTGTATTATGTAAATTCCCTAAAATGTGAGATTAAAATCAGAGTAAAACTGCATGATATGAATGTGAGAAAGTACTCATGTAACTGCCACAGTCAAAGCTTTAGGCAACGTGTTTCTCGTACCTCCATTCCTGAATTCAGGGCTTGCTTTAAGAGCACATGTGCTCTCAATGTAGCACAAAGTCTGTGTGCTCTCTACGAGACTGCTGGGAAGACGAGGAGTGACTTCTGTGACTCTTCCATTTGCATGTCTCAAATGGCATCAATGACAGATGCAGGTTTCACGTATGACAATGGACAAATAGTAATCTCAACAACTTGTGAAAAGTACCATAAATATAAACAGCCCAGAAATTTACATATAAACTAGAAACACTGCTAGATGATTTTTAAAGCAATTACATACTGATATAAACCCTGACACCAAGTAGAAGGAATATTAAGCATTAGTGGAACCTGGGACTTCCGGCAAGATGGAGGCATAGGTGGACTCACCGTACCTCCACGCACAACCAAGATTGGAACAACAACAATTTAGAGGCAGAATAACACCCAGAACTGACAGAAAATTTATCTGAATGGAAGTCGGACAGCCAAGAAGTTGAAATAGACCTGTTTATCCAGACCGGTAGGAGGGGCGGAGACATGCAGCTGGGCGCGGGGTCGTGGCACAGAGAATAGGGCACATAAGGCAACCGGGAGCGCGTAAGGCATCTGGGGCGCCAAGATTGCAGCAGGTGGACCCTGAGTTCGCAAGCGCCAGCTGGCAGACCCAGTGAGGCGGCGACTGTGGAGCAGGGCAGAGTGCGCAACCCAGGATCCCAGAGAAGGGACTGAGATCCCACGGAGAACGGAACTACCGCCATTGTTCCCTCTCGACCCCACCCTCACATACAACGTCACAATCTAGCGACTAGGGTGCCCAGCCCAGGTGAACATCTAAGGCTCTGCCCCTCACCATAACAGGAGCGACCAGACCAAAAAAAAAAAAAAAAGGGAGAGAGAGATGGCTCAAACAGAAGCACAAATCAGTGCCCCAGAACTCATCCTTTTGAGCGACCAAGAGATAGCTAACCTATCAGATGCACAGTTCAAAACACTGGTGATCAGGAAGCTCACAGAATTGGCTGATTTTGGTCGCAAATTAGATGAAAAAAAAATGCAGGTTACCATAAAAGAAATGAAGAAAAACGCACAGGGAACCAACAGTGATGGGAAGGAAACTGGGACTCAAAACAATAGAGTGGACCAGAAGGAAGAAAGAAACAACCAAACAGGAAAGAATGGAGAATTAAGAATTCAAAAAAAACGAGGAGGAGCTTAGGAAACTCCAGGACATCTTTAAATGTTCCAACATCCGAATTATAGAGGTACCAGAAGGGGAAGAGGTAGAGCAACAGATTGAAAACGTATTTGAACAAATAATAAAGAAGAACTTCCCCATTCTGGCAAAGGAAATAGACTTCCAGGAAGTCCAGGAAGCTCAGAGAGTCCCAAACAAGTTGGACCCAAGAAGAAACACACCAAGGCACATCATAACTACATTAGCCAAAATAAAAATGAAGGAGAGACTCCTAGAAGCAGCAAGAGATAAGGGGACAGTAACCTACAAAGGAGTTCCCATCAGACTGTCAGCTGAGTTCTCAAAAGACACCTTACAGGCAAGAAGGGGCTGGAAAGAAGTATTCCAAGTCATGAAAGACAAGGACCTATATCCCAGATTACTCTATCCAGCAAACCTTTCATTTAGAATGGAAGGGCAGATAAAGTGCTTCTCAGATAAAGTCAAGTTAAAGGAGTTCATCATCACCAAGCCCTTATTTTATGAAATGTTAAAGTATGCATTAAAGACTTATCTAAGAAAAGAAGATAAAGAAAAAACATGTATAGTAAAAGGACAGCAAACTCACAATTATTAACAACCACACTTAAAGCAAAACCAAAAGAAATTAAGCAAACAACTAGAGCAGGAACAGAACCACAGAAATGGAGATCACATGGAGGGTTAGCAACAGGGGAGTGGGAGGAGGAGAAAGGGGGGAAAGGTGCAGAGAATAAGTAGCATAGATTGTAGGTAGGAAATAGACAGGGGGAGGGTAAGAATAGTATGGGAAATGTAGAAGCTGAAGAACTTATAAGTATGGCACATGGACATGAACTAAAGGGGGGGAGTGGGTGGGAGAGGGTGTACAGGGTAGAGGGGAGTGAAGGGGGGAAATGGGACAACTATAATAGCATAATCAATAAAATATATTTTTAAAAAGCATTAGTGGAACCTAATTTTGATTAGTAAATACACAAATTTATTTTTGTTAATTGAATTTATTGGGGTGACACAGTCAATAAAATTACATCAATTTCAAGTGTACAATTTTATATTACATCACCTTGATTAATCAGTATTGTTTTTTTAAATGTGGTTTGTGTCTCATTGGTGATAAAATCAATTTTATCAGTCTGGAGTTAACAATTTAAAAAATAAAACAACAGAAAATAGCAGAGTGTACTGCACTTAGCAAGAATATTATCTTGTGGAACTTGTTTTAGTTATGAATTTGTATATGTATTTACATACATTTATGCATATTACATATATACAGGGCCAAGATGTGCAATTATTTTTTCCTTTGGATTAGAGGTAAAAAAAAAGCAAAACCCCACTTTTTTAGGTGCTAGTTTCCTGTATTATGTAATTGTATGAATGAGGGAATGGGTTTTCTTTGTGGTCTCAGTGGCTGCTGCCACTGGCAGAGAACCAAGATAAATGAAGGTGTGGAAATGGAAATCCCCAAATACTATCTAAAGTATAAATAATAATTGTCTTCAGAAAATAAAAATAAAGGCATACAAGCAGCTATAAAAGAATACAGTTCAGTAGTTGTGTAACAATATTTCATGAAACCTAGGGTTTCCTTCAGGACTATTCTCAAGGGCCAGGACAGGCAAAAAGGTGGAAATTAATCATGTATGTTGCATTACTACCTAATATTTCACTTACCAAAAAAAGGGGGATGGGAATTCAGCTGCTAGAATTATCACTAACATACCATTTTCTTTAAATATTAGCAAGTTTTAAGCTAAAGACAGATATTCTATTCACAAGAAAAACAGATTCAATAGCTAGAAAGTTTTCAGTGTTTAACTAGATTTTGCACTTGAAATGCATGTTAGCCGCATTAAAAAATTTTTTTTCTGGCAATGATGAACAAATCAAAGCTTTTATTACACTGTTCTGCTATCTCATACCTTCTTCTTAATGGTCTTCTGTCTTTAAGTGGCAAGAGAGTCAGTGCACCTACTTTTACTGCCCGTGTAGGAAACAGAACTGTGTGGGTGGGCAGTCATTTACCTTACGGCCAAGCTGAATTAAGTTCCCACTACCGACACCGACATCAGGACCATCAGAACTCACCTTTCCTTAAGATTCCTTCTTTTTCATCCTAATTGTCTCTCAGGCTGGCTTAATGAGGTATCAAATCAAGCCTCAACTACATATACCTGTGACTTATAGAACCTAATTTTATTGATGAAAAGCTAACTTCTGCATTAAAAACACTAACAAGTTATTGGTTTTACTTTTCTGAAAAGAAAATCATGGCACATTAAAGAAAAAATCTGTCAGATGGTAAATTAAAAAAAAACTTCCTAAAAGGAACATCAAAAAACAACAGAGAAGGCTAATAACCGAATACTAAAAGGCTTTCAGTTATAATAACCATGCAATACCAAGCCAGAATAAAGGTAAAGATCTGGGATGCTTCAACTGTGTGACTAAGGGTTTAAAGGGGTTAGCTTAAACTTCTATGAAAGGGAACATTTGGCTATGCACAGAAGACTTGGACTTTTAATGTCTTTTGATGTCCTAACCAGCCGGACAGATATGTTGCAATTAGCTAGATATTTAATCCTTAATTACTGTTATTTCCCTCTATCTGTAGGGCTGGTTGCTTATTTAACAGCAGAGGCATGTACATGGTGCTATGTTAAAAAGTACCCAGAATTTTTTTTATTATTAAAAAAATTTCTGCTTAAAAGCACAACAGAAAGTGCTGTAACATTTAGTGAAACTGTTAACTTCATTTAGCTCATTTATAAAATATATCCTTTGCTATGAGAAGTAAAAAGAAGAAAATGCCTCTCCTTCCACTCACCCTACACTTCAAAGTGCCCACATATCTTTAAATATTTAAGTATAGGCTTGCTTTTTAGATTCTTCTTTTATCATCCAGCTACAGTCATAATTACAGGTGTAGACTACACTATGTTTAATTGTTTACGTTTACCCAAATATCCCAGCACTTCATACTGGATTCCATGGGATCACTTTGAGTGACCAAAGACATGGCATATCGTAACTGCTTATTTACATGCTGGCCTGGACTAAACAACAAGGATGCTAACCGTCAGGAATGCAAGGGTTAAACAACTTGTGTACCCTAAGCCATGTGATGGGAAAACAAAATATGCATGTCTGCTACTATGGAAAGTCCCTTCAACAGTCCTTTGCATTACAACTTTTCAATAATTATCAATAATGATTGATGTGACACAAAGACCTACCTTGAATCACATGAGATTTTAATCCTTTTGCTGAGCCAGTTTAACAGAATTTAAATCACAGCCCTCACAGTTTCTGTATTCAGAAATATATTCATATACCTCAAATTTGATTACCTCTATTTATTTCTACCCAAATTAAACCTTTATCATATGTATTTTGTATTCAAGTGCTCTAATCCAAATCTGTGGTAACATGCTTTAAAAAATTAAGCCGACTTAACTTACCCTTTGTCTGAAGTCTGAATCAGCATTTGGATTTAGTCCTAAAAGAGCCTGTTCATCCATCCTGCTGCTATACTTGGAGTTTTCTGATTCCAACAGACGTGCCCTCAGATCCCACAGAAGAATCCACAAACATCTAGACACACAAAAAAGTGGAAAGGAAACAACACTTGATAAACAAAATAGATACTTACCCAGAATACCATAAGAAGTGGATATTATGGAAAGAAGTTTAAAGTGTTTAAAAAAACTTATTTTGAGCCCTGCCCAGTGTGGCTCAGTTGGTTGGGCGTCATCCCACAAAGCAAAAGGTCGTGGGTTCAATTCCAGTCAGGGCGCATGCCTGGGTTGTGGGTTCAGTCAGGCTAGGGTGCACACTGACAGGGAATGATTGCTGTTTTTCTCTCACATGGATGTTTCTCTCCCTCTCTTTCTCCCTCCCTACCCTTCTCTCTAAAAATGAAAAAAACAACAACTTCTTTTGAAACTATCCAAATTACAACTAAAGGAGCCTAAAGTCTCAAGAATGAGCCCACTAAATATTTCACAAATGTGTAGTTTCTAAAATCTAAAGTATGCCATTAAGGTTCTCAAATTTTATTTTTCAGAAGTATAGAAAGTGATTTTCTACTTTACATAGAAGCATTAATTTATGCAATGTTATTATGTACTAGCTCCAGTACATACTTAAAAATGAAACTGTACAACTATATTTAAAAAATGACAAATCCAGATTTTATTATGCTAATTATAACTGCCTACTTCCATATATCAATACCACAAGCTTAAAGAAAACTAGAATGCCTGGCTAAGTAGTGACCTCAGAGTTCAATACCCTTAATGGAGTGTCTATAAGTACTTCAAGAGAATTCAAATGAAAAGAGGAAGGAATAGAAGAGTGAGAAAAACGGGTTCATTTAGCTTTTGAACAATGGGCTAGTTTTTACAGATCGATTCTCTTGCCAGCCAACTCTAGACATGTATTTCAAAAAGTGTTTTTTAATAATAGCTATAAAAATTGACAAACAACTTAGTACTATTCTTATTTTAGAATATATATTTTTAAATTCTCTGGAAATTAAGACACTTTTTCACAATACAGTGTCTTAACAATCTCAAGTAAGAACATGATAAACCCCAAAGACAACTTGGTTTTTGATGGTATGCATATTTATTTGAGGAAGCAAGGAACAAACTCTAAATGATGTGAAAATCACAAGCATTCTCTCAAGGCCTATGAGGTAGGAAGACCAGGCCTTAAAAAGGCTGTGGGGCCTCAATTTTTTTGTTGCTTGGCTGAATTACTGTAACAGAGGAGATCAGAGCCTAAAGAGGCCAAGAGCCTAAGGGGTGGGCAATGGGGGCACAGCCATTTAAGGCTAGGAGGCTAGGATCAGACCCAGGTTAGAGGACCCCCTTCTACAATACACTCTTCTGTCTTCTCCTGAGCATGCCCGAATCAAAGGATAAATCAGGACATATGCTAAGTGCCTTGAAGAAAGCAGACTACAAAAAGGCTCGTACCTCCCCACTGCCGTCAGGATTAAGATCCACTTGTGAATGACTCCTCACCAATCCACACTCCCACCCAAGGCCAGTGGTATTCTGCCTTTCATTTTAGCACACACGACTCTTGTCTTGTTACTTCTTTAACCTGTGCCTGTCCTTCAGAATTCAGCTTAGAAGTCACCTCTTTCAAGGTTTCCTTGACCCCTATTGTCTGACTCTGGCAAACTGGATTAGATGCCCCTCCTAAGTGTTGACAGTCACTGCCTGCTTACTAGTTTTCTCTCATGGACCTTAAAGGGCAAGAACTGTCTTGAATACTTATCACTGTGTCCGTAGGACACAATATTTGGAAAAACCTGGATTTGTACTCCAATCTTGTCATTTTCAAGCTGGGGCCATGTGAACAGCTGCAAAATGTGAAAGAGCACCCTTTCTACAAAACAGGAAAAAGAGCATCTGCCTCATAAAGTTGTAAAGACTTCAATGAGGTAAGATATGTAAAGCATGTCTAGCACGTACTGAGTCCTCAATAGGTCTTTTTTTACAGTTCATAACTAGGCATGTGGGGGATGGAAAATACTTGGAGCATTCTAGATTTATCATATCATAGGAGTACCCTGGCATTTTAAACAGATGGGAAAACGCAAAGGCATACCCCCATCCCACCCCCACTCTGAGCCAAAAAATGACAAGAAAATTCCCCTGAAAAATGCACACAGTTATCAAGGACAAATTTGAGCTTCTAGAAATCCCAGCTTGAGAAGTCCTATTAAAGATTCCTTGAATTTGACATGGTTTTAAGGAAAACTGCTCAAGCTTGGCCAAGTCCCTTTGCTTTTACCAAGGGAGCAGTAAGCGGTCCTGAGATAAAACATGGCAAAACAAACTACCTAAGGAAACATAAACTTGTTACAGTTGTCAGTACAGAAATAATCCTTCAGAGATAACACCTGGATAATAATCAATATGCAATGGAACATGGGAAATTATCTACTGTGCGCAAACACCTTAAAAGCTACAGCCTGTGTGAAAATGTGACAATTATCCCCGTAAAAGGTTGCGCGTGAACACAAGTTCTAAAAAGGCAGACTTGCAGGCTTAAACATTTGTTACAATGCGATAAACACCTCAATTACGCATCTAGCAAATGTTATGGAGAAATACGAGCAAAACAGTTAAAATACTAAGCCCTAACTTTTCCTGGATAGCCATTATATCAAGAATCAGTATGGAAAAATTCCTCCACGCCTACTGAAAGCTGTTCAAGGACCGTCACTGAACCTTTCCAGCTTTAACACCACGCTGACAAGTCGCTTTAATAAAACGTAACTTCCTCCAGTAAAAACTAATTAGCACTTTGAAAAAGTACTCCTTTTCTTCTGGTTACAGGAAACATCACTCCTGCAGAATTGTGAGGAAGGGTCGAAAAGAAATGGCGTGTCCCTGCTGGCAAATTACTATACAGAAATAACACTTTTTTTTTTTGTCCTGGTTGGGGGGCAGGCGATCAAGTTTAAGTCCTCTGCAGGTGAGACATGCTGTAACTATTACAAACGGGCTTGGTCATGTTTATTAAATTGGGGTCCACTACTGATGCTGACCCTCCTTGGCCGGCCTTGTCCTCTTCTTTCCCCCGGATCCTCCCCTAAAGGAAGCCTCGTGGCAATGGGGGTGATGAAACACCCAGCAACGGGCGGCCACGCACTCGGGACACGCTCCGCGGCGGCCACATCTAGTACGCACCCCACCCAGCCTGCCCAGCCTCCGGCTGCACCGCCACGGAGAGCCCCCGGCCCGCACCCCTCCCCAGTGTGGGGGCCCCCTGGGCCAGTCCTTCCAGTCAACTTCCACATAGCCTAGCTCGGATCGAGCCGGCTCCCAGTCCATCCTCCCCAGGTTCCAGTCCCTCCGCCCCCGAGCCCCAAGTCACCTTCCCTATCACTCCATCCCGCCTCCCCGCCCGTGCTCCCGAAGACCGATCAGCAAAACGGAGCGGTGCCGCACGCAGGGAGCGGGGAGAACGGCTCTCGTCCTCGTCGCTGTCGTTCTCCACCACGGCCGTAGGGCTAACACCGGAGACCGAGCTGGCCGGGGCCAAGCGCCTCCCGCCGCTCCGCGTCCCCTGGCGCCTTCTCCTGCGTGGCGCCGGGCCGGCAAGCTAGCAAAAGGAGGCGGGTGGAGTCAGCGCCCCAGGAAGGGAAAGCGTGCTAGGGCCCAGCTAACGCAGCCACAGCCGCCGCCGCCGCTGAGTCAGCGCGAAGCGCGTTCCCCGCGTCGGTGCCGCGCGGGCCCGAGCCAGCAGCCTCATGGAGGGCCGACCGCAGCCCGCGGGCCGGGACCGGGGGCGAGAGACTACAAGTCCCAGCATGCACCGTGAAGGCGGTGCTTCCGGGCAATGGAGCACCACCGTGCTCCCGGGAGCTGGCCGGGAGGCGTGGTCGCCAGGGCCTGTGGTGCATGCCGGGATGGGGCGTCCAGCCTGAATCCGGCTTGGGGTCCTGGTTCCTTTTCGGCACCAGTTAAAACAACTGTCGAGATCCTCAAGCGCGATCTGTAAAACTGGGTTCGTCAAGATAGTTGGTAGATCAGACTACAGAGATTCGGTTGACGTGGTCCAAACCATGTGTGAGTTAGTTAATAGCTCTTCTGTCGTCCCATATGTTACTCCCATGAGCGCTGAAAATTTTAAATTTCACTCTAAATGTAATATTTGTCATTCATGAAAAAGAGAGCATTCTTAGGAAGTCCTACTTGTAGATTCCTTCTATGGTAGTGTTACTTTACTTATTTTTTCACCGACTTATTAATTTATTAATAATACATCGAGGCAATACAGGCTTAGGCTGCATAGGTTTGAATTCCACCTTCGTGTTCACTAGTTGACCTCAGTTTCAGCTGCGTTACATAATCGGTGCTTCAGTTTATTCATCTGTAAAGTGGAGATGAATCAGGTACTGACCTAAATGGCTTGTGAGGATTGAGTTAATGCAGGTGTTTGGCACACAGTGTTTGACATTTAGGCTTCACTATTGAGATTCAATACGTGTTGAATACAGACTAGGTTGCAGTCACTGGGACTACAGTAAAGAACAAAACTTGGGAAGGGGGAATGGGAAGAGATATAGGATAAAATTAATGTAACAGCCCTGGCGGGTGTGGCTCGGTTGGAGCGTCATCCCCCACACTATAGGGTCGCAGGTTCCATTCCAGGTCAGGGCACGTACCTAAGTTGTGGGTTCCTTCCCTGGTCAGGGTGCGTACGTGGGACAGTAACAATTTAACAGCTACATTTTAGTGACGAATAATGTGCAAGACACTGCATAAGACATTTCATATAGAAAGTATCTTGAATTGTTTTTGCATCAGTTTGTAATTTACTTGCTCAGAATGTCAGGGTAGGACTCCTGTCTCTATTTCAGTGTATCCCCAGAGGGTAGGTTACAACTCAGTAAGCAAATCCTTGCGTGGATTCTTACGTTAGCCGTGTAGATCAACTATGGACTATGGAGGCCAATACTAATCCAGGTCCAAGTAGTTCTAGAGTCTTGAATTTGGCCAATATATTGTGCTCCCTCATCTTAAAGAACACCAAAATACAGTGTATTGTATTGTTGCTATCTTTAGTTACCCTTTACTTTTATAAACTTCATATGTTAAATATCATATGATGCTTATTTACAATTTAACATTATAGCTTATCTGCAGTTTCTCTAGTAACATCGAACCTTTATGGTAGTTCAAATACCTAGGATTATAAAAATGTCTTTCAATTTCATAAATTCACATTACTACAGAACAAATAAGAAAGCACTTGAAATCCAACTGAAGATGAGATGAAAGTTATACTAAACTTGACCACCCCCTATTCTGGTTACCCTGTGCATGAAGAGCAAGTTTCTAATCTCAGACTACTATAAAATGCCAGGTATTAAAATGTTGATAAGTAATGGCTATTTTAAGTTATATATGCTTACACATGGCAATATATTAATGTATTAATTGTAAACATTTCTGAGCATTTATTGTGCACCAGAAACAATTCTAAGTGTTCAGGCATTAATCCTCACAACTCAGTGAGGTAGATAGTATCATTATCCCCATTTTATAGATGAGGAACTGAAGTGCATAAAAGTCAGGTAGTAAAGCTGGGATTTGATAAAGACTAACTGCAACTTTAAGCAAACATAAGCAGTCGGAAGGGTCTATGAGAGGAGTTACGGCTTCTGAAAGTTTTCATGCTCTATGTCAGGGGTGTCAAACTCATTTTCACTGGGGGGGCCACATCAGCTTTGTGGTTGCCTTCAAAGGGCTGAAATAATTTTAGGACTGTATAAATGTAACTACTCCTTAACTGTTAAGGAGTTGAAATTACATTACATTGCCTTTAAAGGCAACCTCAAGGCTGATGTGGCCCCCGGTGAAAATGAGTTTGACACCCCTGCTCTATGTAATCACTAGAACCCTACCAGAAAAACTCTATAATAAAGTTCTATGGTTCTAATTTCCCCTTCCCTTCTCTTCCTTTTCCTTCTATAAATATCCTCCACCAATGCACACAGGTCAGAGTATGCATGTGGCTTATCATGTCTGCATGCACTGGATTGCAATCCTTTTTTGGTGACAAAACACCTAGTCAATATTATTTTTCAGTTGACAGATTCAAACCCATAGTCTGACTTAGAGTCTGTGCTCCTAACCTCTGTCTCTCATATGAAGGCCCATTAAGGATGATGACGTGGTGGTAGAATTATAGTGCTAAGTCGGTTTTTCCTATAAATATGCATATGATGAGTCCCCTTTCTTATAACACTGAAACTTGGTTCTTGTCCTATGTCTTCCCTTTTTTTTAGTTGCCAGAGTACTTGAAATTATTGTGATAGATAACATTTATAAATTTCATTATGGTTTAAAATATGCCTTCAGATATCTTTTCCAATTTGTTCCTCTTAACCTTGTAGGGATAGAGCAGGTATCATCATCATCATCATCATCATTTTTTAAATTTATAAATAAGGAAATCAAGGTGGATTTTAAGTATCTTATGTTACATAGCTAGTAAATGGTGGGCCAGAACCCTAGACTCTTAATTCTAGATGTAAACCAAAATTAATTTTAGACTGTAATAAAGAATAAAAAATGTTTATTTGAGCAAAAGGAACTGCAGCCCTGGAGACACAGGTTCAAGGAGTAACCTAAATTGTGCTGCTGATGGATGGAACTGGAGAGCATTATGCTAAGTGAAATAAGCCAGGTGGTGAGGGACAAATACCATACAATCTCACCTTTACCTGGAACATAATCAACAAAAGAAAAAAACAAACAAAATATAACCAGAGGCATTGAAATTAAGAAGAATCTAACAATAGCCAGAGGGGAGTGGAGAGGGGACAGTGGGAAGAAGGGTTTTCTGAAACTACTATAAAGGACACAAGGACAAAACCAAGGAGGAGGGTGGAAGCAAGGGGGGGGGTGGACTTGGAGGGGGTGAGGAGGAGGGGTAGGGAGAAAATACAACTGTAATTGAACAACAATAAAATAATTTAAATTAAAAAAATGAATTGTGCTGCTGAGACAAAGGGGAGGTTGCCTTTTATAGAGGAAGTTTCCATTCAGGTTCCCAATTAGGTTTCCATTCTGGTTCCTGAATTATGTAAATGAGTACCCAAATTGGTCCACTTCTGACTGGTCCGAGTTGCAGGGTCCTCATTGGTCAGCAATATGTTTGCTGCTTGGTTGTTATAGAGCAATCTGATTGAGGGGGCAGGTCTTAGTCCATTGGTTGAAAGATGAAGTGAGAAACTCCCTCATAATTGTTGATTCAATCTGTGTAAATGAGCAGGAAGCTTAGAGTTCAAACTGACATTCTTCCTGGAATACAGAGTACATGAGAAACGCCTGTCAGCAAATGGCCACTAAGCTTTTTTCATTTATAAAATCTAGGCCCTTGGTTGACCATGGGAAGTACATCTCAGCAGATAATTCCTTCTCAGGGTTCACATCTGTTTTGCAGCCATTCAAGGCTGGCCAGATTCACGTGGAATTTGAGCAGATGGAAGAAAATTTGTGGAGCCATCTGGATATCTGACACGCCTTTATTCTGGGGTGGGGCCATCCACCCGCGCTACAAGCCAAAAGTCGCACTGAGGAAGTCCCAACTCCCTTATATACTAAATGCACACAAAGGTGCCGACACCGACCTAGTTATATTACAGAGCTTCATTCTATGTATGCGTGCCCTTACTCAAGGCCACATGAACACTGCCAAGCCACAGTTGTCTGGACATCTGGATGAGGGAGCCTCACCAACTTCATTTTCCCTACAACATCAAATGAATATTCTTGGGGTCCACATGGTTTTGACTATACCTGTTTGTTTTCTTCACTGCACTCCTACTTTTGCTCTTTTTGAAAAAGATTTTATTTATTTATTTTTAGACAAGTGAAGGGAGAGAGAAAGAGAGGGAGAGAAACATCAATGTGTGGTTGCCTCTTGTGCTCCCCAAACTGGGGGCCTGGCCGCAACCCAGGCATGTGCCCTGACTGGGAATCAAAGCTGTGACCCTTTGGTTCACAGGCCCGCACTCAATCCACTGAGCCACAGCAGCTGGGGTCATGTCAGTGTAATTCTTAGACCACCTAGAAAAACAGAGAGGAAAGGGGAAATTTTTCTATTCTCCTACAGCTGTCTTCTAGTATTCTGCACTTAGTCAGTAATTATCTTTTATTGTTTCAACATTCAGTGCTATGAAGATGACCCCCCATTTTCTACCACTGGTTGTAATTCTGTTCTCCCAACTTGTATGACCAGACTGTTGTTACCGGCATTAGGATTCTTAGGCTTCCCAAAATAAAAATTGAGAGCAGCCATGACTGGGAAGCTCAGTTGGTTAGTGTTGTTCCTATACACCAAGGTTGTGGGTTTGATTCTCTGTCAGGGCACATGTGAGAATCAACCAGTAGATGTATAAATAAGTGGAATAACAAATTGATGTTCTTCTCTTTCTTTCTCTCTCTCCCTTCCTCTCTCTCTCTAAAATCAATCAATAAATTTTGTTTTAAAAAATTGAGAGGAAACCCCAGAGAAATTTCCAGGCAGATTTTGTTAAGATTTTGCTCAAGCACAAGGGAGGCAGCACAGAGGAAAGGAAGGTCCTCTGAGCTGGCCCAGGGGCTGGCTGTGCGTGGCTGCTTTTATAAGCTGGAACCAAGCAGGCTTGCTCGAAAATTCGGGCTTTTTGAAAAGGTGAGCTTGTGAAGGGTTCTGGGGAATGGAATTCTCCATGTCAGGGTGAGGTTCCTGCCTCCTTTTGTCTGGTCCTTTGATCGCTATTGTGCACCTTCCCTGTGAAGAAAAGATGGTGGTGTTGCTCATTACTACCACCCCAGGAAGGTCATATAGGGGCCACATCTTGATGAACCGTGCAAGTGGGTCAGTAGTTTAAATAGGCAGTTTGAACAGATATAAGATCAGCTACCTCTGCCTTTTTGAGTAGGGAGTAGTGACATGCTTGCAGTCAGTTCATCATGAATGCCTTCTGACCAACCAGTGTTAACTTGGCTTCCTAGCCACCGTCACTGGGCCAAAGTCCCTATACTGTCTCACTGTCACATCTATTCTTTCTATTCCTGGTCTTACTTCGTCTACCTTAGACTAGACCTTCATAACTTCTCTCCTGGACTTAAGGAAACATTGAAAGAAAGTTATTCATTACTCCACATAGTACTTTCATAATCAGATATAAAATTTAGATTACACAACCTACTTCATGGGAGAAGATATTCACAAATGATACATCCCATAAGGGGTTAATATCCAAAATATATGAGGAACTCATATAACTTAACATCAAAAAAGAATCCAATTAAAAAATGACAGAGGACCGGAATAGACATTTCACTAAAGAGGACATACAAGTGGCCCTGGCCGGTGTGGCTCAGTTGGTTGGAGCATCATCCTGTAAACCTAAAGGTTGAAGTCCAATCCTGGTCAGGGCCCACACCTAGGTTGAGGGTCCAGTCCCTGGTTGGGGGGTGTTTGGGAGGCAACCAATCAATGCTTCTCTCTCCCTCTCATCCTTCCTCTCTCTCTAAAAAGCAATGACAAAATCTTCTTGGGTGTAGATAAAAATAAATAACTTTAAAAAGGGCATATAAATAGTCAACAGATATATGAAAAGATGATCAACAAATTAAAAACACAATGAGATATCACCTCATACCTGTTAGCATGGCTATTGTAAAAAAAAATCAACAAATAACAAGTGCTGGTGAGGATGTAGTGAAAAGGGAAACCTCAAGCACTATTGGCGGGATTGTACGTTAGTATATGCACGACGGAAAGCAGTATGGAGATTCCTCAATTGCCACATGACCCAGCAATTCGACTTCTGGGTATTTATCTAAAAAAACCCTGAAAACATGAATTAAAAAAGATACAGATACCCCTATGTTCATCCCACATTATTTGCAACAGCCAGGACATGGAAGTAACACAGGTGTCCATCAGCAGATGAATGGATAAAGATGTGACACACACACATAATGAAATCTTATTCAGCAATAAAAAATAATAAAATCTTGACATTTGTGACAACATAGATGCATCTAGAGAGCATTATGCTAAGTGAAATAAGTCAGACAAAGAGAGACAAATATCATATGCTTTTTCCCTTTTCTTAAGATTTTATTTATCTATTTTGAGAGAACAGGAAGAGAGGGAGAAAGAGAGGGAGAGAGACTGGGGCCTGTCCAGTAACCCAGGCGTGTGCCCTGACCTGGAATGAACTGGTAACCTTTCAGTTAGCAGGCGGGTGCGCAATCCACTGAACCATACCAGCCAGGGCCAAGTATCATATGATTTCACTTCTACATGGAATCTAAAAAAATGAAACAAATGAATAAACACAACAAAAGAGAAACAGATCCATACATATAGGACAATGGTGGTTGCCAGGGGGGACGGGACCAAGGAATGGGTGAAATTTAAAGATAATTAAAGTTTAAAAACTGACTATAATAAAAGGAAAAAAAGAAATAGTTTCATTCATTCTTTGAGAATTTGTTGAATGCCACCTCCCTCATAAAGTATTTCCAGATTTCCTCAACCAGGTTTTTTTGATTATTTCTTTGATGTTGATTTTTTAACCACTCTTATGTCATTAATATATTTTAATATGTTCTGTTCTTGTTTTGTATTAAATTTGTGTGGTTATCTTACTCACCTATTAGTCAATTCCTGAAGGCTTAAAATGTATTATCTTGATTGTGTTTATGGGTAATAACTTCTGGGTAAATATTTGTGAAATGTATTCAATTGAACCAAAAATAATATAATTTTTAGCAGATAACTACTGAGTCCTGTATCAAATTCTTAGGCTTCATTTCAATGCTTGTTAAGCTTAGTGCCATTGTCACTAAAAGCTCATTCATGATGGGTTTCTTGGCAGAAAGAAGTCGAAAAATAGGTCGGGTAAACTATGTTTATTGGTTGTAGTCCATTCGTTGGTTTCTCTGAGAGAAAGTGGGTGTGAAGCAGAAAGCCTGAGGCAGAATAGAGCATTGCAGCATTATTTAATAAAAGAAAGAGCTTTTCTTTTTAAAATATCTTAAAAATTTTTATTATAAAGTGATACATACATTTTATTAAAATTTGAATATTCCATAGACATTTAATGCTGAATGTGAAAAGTCCTTCACAGTCCCACATCCCCCAAGAAACAGCTTTTCTTAATCCAAAGCACCTGCATGGTCCTTTTAACTTCATTACAATGCCAATTGATTGCTAACTGTAGATATTTAAATGGTCAATATACATGAATAACAAGTAGAAACAGCAAGAGATTCCTAAATCAGACACTATAAAAATTCAGGTTCTATTTACCTACCACAGATTTCAAGTATCTTTCTAAGCATGCCGTCTTTAGTCTCAAGTTGAGAGATGGGACATTTGGGGTCCATAGAGCCATTGAAAGGTAATTCTAGTTTGAAATCTTTACAGTGTTCTTATGACCTATGGCCCACTAATCACTTCTCTACCAAAAATGCAACTAAAAACAAGTAAAAATGTTTTGTTTGTACGTGTGTGCATGTAGATTAGACTTTTGTCATGCACCTTAACTTAAAGTTTAAAAAGTTAGGCTATGTGCAACAAAGAAGAATTTGGTATTACTTTCTATATGGGAAACCAAATATATGTACCAGAAAATCACATACTTGTTCAATTTATTTTTAGAACACTTATATAGTGTTTATACTCAGGTATACTCTGTACTCAAGTACCTTTTAAAGTACTTTAGAAAAATTGTTAATTCTCATAATAACCCTATGGTGTTGGTACTATTACTTAATTTTACAGATGGGGAAACTGAGGCACTGAGGGATTAAAGTAATTTGTTCAAGGTCATTTAGCTATTGAGTGTGAGAACTAGAATTGGAACCCAGGTCATCTGACTCTGTGCTTACAACTGTCCCTTCAAACTAATTGAATTGACTTAAGGCTAACTCCATTCTTTGGGTGAAAGTTCTCCTGCTTAGGGAGAGAGCCTTAGGGGATTAGTTCCAGGTAAATAATATTTCACTTCTTTTGATAGTTTTATCAAGAAACATCTATTAGGTGCTTGATTATACAGGATATGTACCAAATGCTTCTTGAGTTTGGACAGACTTAGAAGAATAAAGAGGAAGTTCCATCTCGGGTGTATTTGTTAACTTTACTAAAAGAGAAGGGACTATGGATACTTTGCATGTCTATAGTGCTCTTAGAATTCATACTCATTGCCTTTGCTCCTCACATGAACTCTTTGTTGGCAGGGCAAATATTAGTAGTTTCATTTTAAGGATGACAAAATTTGAAGCTTGAAATTGTTCAGTGACTGTCCAGATAGTGAGCAACAAGGTCAGCACTCGAATCCAGTTTTCCTGACTCCAAGTTCAGTAATCCTCCTCCTGTATTAAAGTCCTTTCCTGCAACCTGAACTTTGCTGTTTCGCTGGCCACAGTGCAGAACACCAGGTGCCTGGAAACCAGAATACTGCCTTCTCTGAGTGCCACAAAGTTAAAAGTTTAACCGAGGCCATTACCCACCAATCCCTATGTTAATTCCCTTCATGTGCTTCATCTTAACCTTTGTTAAACCTATTGCCCTTGTTACCAGAAGCTCAATTTTGATGGGCTTTCCAGGCAGATAGCTCAGGTGCACTCTTTCCTGCAAAGTCTAGACATTCTGTTTCTCTTAGTCCTGGGTATGAAGCCTGAGAGACACCTAACAGCGGCCTGGGGAGAGGCCTTTTCCCTTACTTGGGCCTCAAGTTCCACCTCTGATATAGCCATTTCTGTCATTAGCTCTTGTGAGATGTGGCTATTTGGCAAAGCACCTTTGCCTTCTGTTGGTTTGAGGTAACAAACTCTGTCTAGAGTGGTTTATACAGGGAATAGTCTTTATTTTAGAGGAAATAGCCATGCTTGTTGAGTTCCCTTTTCGTTCAGTTACGAAGTTCTGAGAAGTCAGATGTATGATCAGATTCTAAGAAAACTTTAAATGTTAGGTCATTTAAGATTTTTATCAGCAGGTGGCACTGCTCTCTTTCCTCACCAAATAGTCTCTCCCAAAAAACACTTGCTTTTTCTTTGTTGCTTTTGAATTCCTTAGGCTTGTTTAGCCAAACACAAACATTTCTTCTGAGTTCCCTTTTGTAGCAATTTAGTCTACAATATCTGTTTATGCGGTTTAATTTATTTATACCCTCTCTACGCAAAGGATTTGAAATTGCTTACAACATACAGTATATAAGGAAAAGGAAGATAGAACTTGCAATAAAGAATATATAATTTGATTCTGGGTTGTGGGTAGCTGGAGAAAAAAATACACACACACACCGTATTTTGTCATGAATAATGCACACTTTTGCCCAATTTTTTAGGGAAAAATAGGGATGTGCATTATACATGCACAGCGCTGAAATGTGGGTGTGCATTATACACGGCGAAATACCAGGCCTCTGGGTAATGACTGTTTTAGGATTTGAAATTAAAATGAATGCTCTCACCTAAGATTAAGCAAGTTTCTGTTGTATTCTTCTCATCTCTCTAACCTATTTTATAATATTATTCCTTTTTAGCCTGGTTGGCGTAGCTCAGTGGATTGAGCGCGGGCTGTGAACCAAAGTGTCACAGGTTCAAAGTCAGGGTACATGCCTGGGTTGCAGGCCATGACCCCCAGCAACCGCACATTGATGTTTCTCTCTCTCTCTTTTTCTCCCTCCCTTCCCTCTCTAAGAAATAAATTAAAAAATCTTTAAAAAAATTTTTAGAAAATATAATATTATTCCTTTTCTATCAAAACTAAGCTGTTCTTTTACCACCCTGCAGCCTGTGTAAGTGGCTGCGTAATTAGCATTTCTGAGGCTATAATTTTCAATTTTTCAAGATGCAGGCCTAACCCATTCATTCATTCATCCTACACAGATTAAGCTCCAACTGTTTCCAAGGCCTTGTCCTGGCTATTGAGACCACAAATACACCCATTAGGTAGTTTTGGCTGTGCCCAATTTATGATAGGATTCTCTTCTCTCAGAGAGTTTGTAGCTGGTTGGAGAAAGAAGACCTATGCTCATACTCATTAAAATTAGAGAGCTATTGCAAGCAATGTTATAATCAAATGCTAAATCAATAGGGATCTAGGATTGTTCTGCCTATATAAAAAAAAATGAATCGGTAAATTTCATCTCATTCAAGTTTCTAACGGAAAACCAGAATGAAACCGCTGCTTCAGTACAGTAAGGAATGGCACGGTCCGCAATGGCTGGGGTTATTGGGATGGGGGCACTCTGGGCGGAGGGCCCCACGCAGCCCTGACGCTTGTCAGTGGTTAACTGGAAGGACCAGCAGCTCACCACCACCCAGTCCCCGCCCCTGCCTCCACCGCACTGTTGTCGGAGGCTGGGGCAAAGATTGCTGGGGAGGCCTCCAGGGAGCCACCCTGCCGAGTCGAACTCCAAAGCTGGGGGCCCAATTCCCTGCACTCGAGGTGAGGGGCGGGTGGCAGGGGCTTCGTGGAACACGCGGGTTCCACCAAGGGTAGCGCGCAGGCGGGGCCGGGCTAAACGTCCAAGGTTCTCCGCACTCCGCCCCTTGGTCCTGCAAGCCCAACCCGGCAGGGTCCAGCTTCCCAGCGCGCTCGAACAGCCACCTGGACCCGTTCCTGCTCCAGCATCTGGCGCCCGAGGTCTACAACGCCAGCCGCGTCTAGGAACCATGCATGTGTTGTCCGACTCTGAGAATCACTCATTAAAGTACTTGGTCCTCTGTTACCAGCTCATCTACCTGACCGAGACCTCACCCAAGTCCAAGTGGCAGGCCGTGGTGCTGCAGGAGGTTGTGGCCATTGATCTGGTGAGCAGCGTGGGTGGGCAGGCGGGTTTGTGAGAAACTCCTTCTTCGGCCCGCGCCCCGCCCCAATTCCAGCCCTCCTGCACCCGGGAAGGAACAAGAGGAGGAAGACTTTCCTCTTCCTCCCTGGACTCTGGAACTCTCTTTAACTTTCTTCAGTACTAGCAGCCACATAGGGAAACTGTGGATTGCTTGTGCACTTCCTATACAGATGCCTTGCCCATCTCATGGTGTGTGCCGGTCATTCCTCCCAAATAGGGCTACAGATTTGAGAATATAGCCCCCTATCAAAAGTATGTTTTAAAGTCATTTGTTCTTTCAGTACGTACCTAGCCTGTACCAGGCACTGTGCTACACACTTGCGGATGCAAAAATGAAATAAGTCTCCTTCCTAGAGGCGGAAAGCCATCACCCATGCAATAAATGCCGTGCTATACCTGTCTTAAGTGCTCTCGTGCCTTGTTTACTTGTTTTTTTAATCTCCAGCACGTACAGCCGGTTAAGTGCTCAATATGAGCGAGCGAATGAATGGATGCATTAATAAGATGCGAACAGGGTGCCTGACAATCTCAAGCGGGTCACTTGATCCAAACTGCGCTCAGGTCACGCTGGAAAAACGTCCTTGGCAGGACTGTCACCAGGGTGGAGCCTTGAAGGAGATACAATCTGGCACAGCCACGCCTTGTCCCAGTTTTTAGTGTGCTACTACTGTATCCCCTTTGCTCCAGGAATAGATTTACCTTACAAACCAGCAACAGATTGGAAGCAGGCTGTCTTCTCCGGTTACTGTTTTTCCTCCCTTGGCTCTGTTTGTTTGAGCTGCTCTCCAGGTGTGATCTTTTTCCACTGGGGACTGGCGTCTAGCCTTGTTTATTTTCCCCTCCACTGAGTGTCTGTGTTCCCCCAGGGAGAGGTCAGTCAGACTCTTAATGGGGCTGTTTTGCCAAGAGAAGCAGAGCTTGTGTGGAATAGTCTGTAAGAAGAGAATAAAACTAATGAAAAATTTTTTTTCTCCACTTAAAGTATCTCTGGGGGATAATATCTCAGCGCAAATTTATTCTTTTTTTTTTTTAAACCAAAATGTGGGAAGTAAAACTGCCTTTTCCCCTACTGTCACTATTTCTATTATCTTGAACTAAAATAAAAAATATTGAATTTCCTTTACTAAATTTTTTTAAATTAAATGCTCAGCTTCTTCTTGTGTCTGGCAAACATTTGTTGTTTTGACAAAAAGTAATGATTTTAGGATTTGGTTACTCTGCCCAACAAGAGACAGTCTGCACACGCAGTAGTTGTTGTGTATCTTTCTTTCTGAGCTGCTAGAATCTGAAAAGTACAGTGGAGCTCCGCGGGCGCTCCTCAGCCAAGAATCCTACAGAAAAGTTTACCAGTCAGTATGGTAATACTTCACGTACAAAATTTGCCTTTCAGGCAGATAGATGATTGTGTAATGTCTGTAAAGGTGTAACAAAATCTAAGATTTCAGCACTGCTGATAGAGTTTAACTTTGGGTGAAGTTGTGGTCGGCAGATTAATGACCCCAAAAGATTGCCCTGGGACCTGTGCATATGATAGATACATTACAGAGGGGAACTAAAGGTACAGGTGGAGTTAAGGTTGTTTGCTAATTAACTAACTTTAAAATAGGGAGATTATTTTGGATTATCTGGGTGGGCCCAAGGCAATCACAAAGTCCTTAAAAGTGGAAAAGCGAGGCAGAGGAAGAGTCAGCGGCAGAGTGATACAGCATGAGAAAGACTTGCTGCTTTTGAAAGTGGACGGAGGCCACAGGCCACGGGATATGGGCAGCCTCTAGCAGCAGGAAAAAGCAAGGAACCAAGTTTGTGCCTCCAGCAGAAATGCAGTCCAGCTGACGCCTTGATTTTAGCCCAGTGAGACCCATCTCAGACTTCTGCACTACAGAATGTGAGAGAATACATTTGTGTTGTTCAATGCCACCAAGTTTGTGATAATGCATTGCAACAGCAACTGAAAATTAATACAGTTTTCCCTATTATGGTGCTTTAAAATGGGTAATTGTTTTAAAAAATATTGTTTTAGTGAGAAATAAATATAATCATGTCAAGCACAAATTCCTTAACAATCATTTTTTCTGAAATTTAATAAAATAATTCCGGGGTTATTATTATATTTCATGGCTTGTACTAAGCTGCATTGGATGTGTGAAAATGGGTGTTATGGAATTGCTTTATCTGTTATCAGTTAATAACCATAGAGGTATTTGACCATCATCCCCCTAAGAACACTATGCCCTTACTTAATACCACAATGTATGGAATTTCCTGCTTTCTGGGTTATATCTCATGTAGTTGTCCTCCTGTCCACGCTAACAAAAGGCCAGAATTTGGATTGGGTACAAGTGAGATTTCCTTTGCATCAAAGATCAGCTTAACGTGCACTTGGAGATCTCAGTAGGCATTTGATGGTTCATCCCCTGAATGAAAGTTTCTACGGTTGCTTGGGCAGAGCTTGTATAAAAGGCGGGCATTTTCCTTAAAAGTTACTTTTGGAATTATTGTCTAGAGTTCTGCTCTTGTGGCATACATCAAAACACTATTCTTTACGTGCTTCTAAGATTAGACACATTGTTAGAGAACCAAATATCTAGAACAGTCTGTGAATTTCCTATGGGTTCATTCCATCCCAATAGCTACAGAGAAGAGAAAATCTCTCAGTTCCAGCAGCTCCAGCCTCAGTGTCTTGCCTTTCTCCTTGTCCTTTCATGGCTGCCTCCTCATTGAATATCTGCTCTCCAGTTATCCCAGGCTCCATGTGGCTTCTTGAACAAACAACAAAGGTACCTTTTACAGCCTGGCCAGTTCGCTTGCAGTGTTCATGCCCTCCTCCTTGTTCAAGGTTGTTCAGATCATCATATTTACAGTCCTTTTTCTCCTCTTCCTTTTTCTTCTCTTGTTCCTCCTCCTCCTTTAAAAAATGTCATAAACATTAGCTCAGAATGGTCCCAGGCTTGCTGAAGAGACCACTGTAGTTTGCCAAATGATCCCTGCTTTCCCCACTTCCATAATCAGATCCTACACATTTTCTAGGCTAAGCCCAAAGTCATTCTTTCTTTCTTCAAATCGCTTTTCCTTGACTGAGCCCATAAATGGCAGGTTTTGGGGTCTGTTTTGTTCATTTCTGTAGCTCTGGTTCCTAGAACACTGCCTGGTACAGATAAGACACTCAATAAATATTTGTTAAATATTCAACACAGTCTGTTCCCTGTCTCTTTTCTTTCTGAATTTATTACCTGCAGTATACACTTGGGCATTTTATACAACATTTGTATTCAGCCTTTGCTTTCCACCTGTGCATAGACTGGGTCAAGTTTGTTAACCTCTATCTGTGCCCCACGTCCTCATCCATAAAACGGAGATAACAGCACCTTACTCAGAGAGGGTTGGAAGGAGTAAATTAACAAGTGTAACACTTAAAACAATACTTGGCACATGATAAGAGCTATATACATGTTAGCTTAATTAATAATCTTTATTCATATATAAGAAGTCAATTAAGGCTCCCCATGGATCTGTTAAGTTCAACATTATTATCCCCTTTCCAAGGCAGGGCATTTAGCTTTAGGAAATTTAGGAAAATGACTTTTTGAGCATTTATTATATATTAGGTGTTTTGAAATACATTATCTCATTTATTCTTCTCAAAAATCTGCCCAGTAGGTCTGACAAATTTATTGCATTCAGAAACAAAATTCCTGATCTTCACCCCAAATGTGTTCATGCCTTAGCTTTTCCTGTTTTCAGAGATAATATCTTCCATTGTCTTTAATTCCGTCCTTCTCTCCCACCTCCAACATATCAGTACATCCTCTTTTTAAAAATGTATTGAGGTAACACCGGTTAATAACATTATATAAATTTCAGGTGTAGGTTATAATTCGATGTCTATATACTCTATTGTGCACTCACAGCCCTATGTCTGGTTTCCTTCTGTTACCGTGCATTTGACTCCCTTTACCCAATTTACCCTCCCCCCACCCCCCTTTCCTTCTGGTAACCACCATTCTGCTGTCGGCATATGACTTTGTTTTTGTTTGTTTTGTTAGCTCATTTGTTACTTTTTTGTTTTATATTCCACATGTGAGTGAAATCATTTGGTTTTTGTCCTAACATTGCATTTAGCATAATACCCTCAAGATCATCCATGTTGTTGCAAATGGCAATATTTCATCTTTATTATGGCCGAGCAGTATTCCATTGTACGTATACCACATGTTCTTTATCCATGCATCCATTGATGGACACTGAGGTTGTTTCCATGTCCTGGCTGTGGTAAATAATGCTGTAATGAATATGGGGTACATACATCTTTACATACTAGTGTTTCCATATTTTTTTGGTAAATACCCAGAAAGGTCATTGCTGGATCTCATGATAGCTCTATTCTTACATTTATTTATTTATTTATTTATTTATTTATTTATTTATTTATTTATTTATTTTTAGAGAGGGAAGGGAGGGTGATAGAGAGAGAGAGACAAACATCAATGTGCAGTTGCTGGGAGTCATGGCCTGCAACCCCGGCAAATACCCTGACTGGGAATCGAACCTGCAACACTTTGGTTCGCAGCCCACGCTCAATCCACTGAGCTATGCCAGCCAGGGCTATTCTTACTTTTTAAAGTAACTTTCATACTAGTATATCCTTGTCCAGTGTAAAGGAGAAAAAAGTTTTCCTCAACACTTTTAGGATCTCGGCTGGGTCTCTAAACCAACAAAGATAGATTAATAGGAGAAAAGCATACAAATTTATTTAATGTACATTTTACACAACATGGAAGCCTTTATAAGGAAACAAAGACCCAAAGGAACAGTTAAACCAGTGCATTTTTATACTGGGTTTGATGGAGAATGAAGAGTCATGGAAAAGTGTGAGAGCACAAACAGGGGGATGAGCCAAGGTTACTGAACTGGGGAGGCTTAGCCAGCCTGTGTGGCGTGGATTCCCCGAGGCGTGCCTGTCTC